TTGGCATCCATTTGGCGCGTAGGTTGGTGGTTGGGCAGTCAGGGTCGGTGGAGTTCGGACGAACGTTGCTTGCCCTACAGCAGCCGCTGCCAGTTTTGGACAAGTGTTGAGCTTCGTCCCCATGTTTCCCGTCCCCATTCCGGGTGTGCCACGAGGACGGAGGAGAAGACGAGGATGAAGAGGATGAGGAGGAGGAAGGAGGAGGAATAAGGAGGAAGGAGGGAGAAAGGAGGAGTAGGAGGAGGAGCGCGGGCGTCGTGATGCGCATCGCATTTTTGCGTTTGGAATTTGGCACGCTTCGGTCTTTGAGCCCTCGTATTAGAACAGCATCGCCGCAGGAGGAGCAGGCGTGTTCAAGCTTCCAGAGCCTGCTAGAATCATCTTGCGTCTTTCAAGCACAGCATACGTTTCTCCCTCACCCTCCTCGCCCATCCTTCCTCCTTCCTCCCTCCCTCACTCCCCATCCGCTCCTCCTCCTCTTCGGAGGAGGGGGGACGAGGAGGGATGAATTCGGGAGGACGACACTTACGACGCCAACGACGACGCCTGCGATGCCGACATCAACGGTGTCACCGACAATAATGACGCCTTCGACGCTGTCGTCGACGACAACGACGCCGTCGTCGACGACGCCAACGTCACAGCGGCGCTGTCGACAATGCCGACCTCGAAGCCGATGACGACGCCGACGTGACAGCGACGCCGACGACGTCGAAGCCGACGGCGGCGACTGCCACGCCAACAACGCCGACGCCGACGATGCCGACGACACCGACGACACCGACGACGACGACGACGACGGCGACGCCGACGCCGACGACGGCGACGATGCCGACGACGACGACGACGCCGACGATGCCTGGCGACGCCGGCGGCGGCGGCGGCGACCAGCAGAGTCGATGAGCGTCTGAAGCGCGCGTGGCGGGCCACTCCCCGCGAGCGCGCGTGCCAGTGCCCGCGGACGGCGTCCGTGACGGCCCAGAGCGCGTGCGGCTGCTGGGGCGTGACGTTCGAGACGCTGCACAAGGCGCTGTCGATGTCGTCGTCGTCGTCGGCTTTCAGCATCGTCTAACTCATCCCCATCCCCAGTGCAATGGCCTCTCAGCCCCACCAGTCCACCCTCCTACGTGGGGGTCGGCCCCGCGAAACCCGAAGGAGGAGGAAGATACCCCCACCTAGGTGAGTAAGTCGTTCAGCGTGGCCAAGGCGACTGCTCATGCGTTGCCGCCGTCGTCGTCGCCGACGTCGACAACGACGACTTCGACGCCGACGTTGGCGTCGGTGTCGTCGTGCGGCTGCTGGAGGGAAGCCCCAAACCATGAAAACCCGACCGTCACCAGAAAAACAGAGCCCACGCCAGAAAACGACGAATGCCACCAGAAAACCAGAGAAGTGCGAATTTTGAGGATGTTAAGACGCTCGGCACTTTGTAAGGAGAGGTTTGCCGCCAGGGGCCGCGTGGCCCACGGGCTATCAGGAGCGGGGGTCTTCCAGGCAGGGGTCTTGCAGAGGTGTCTTAGAGAGGAGTTCCAGAGAGGATGTCGCCGCGAGGTCTCCAGTCACGCAGCGGTGTCGTCGCCTGACATTTTCGGGTGAAGGAACTGTTTTTCTCTGGTTATGGTTTCGGCGTTCCAGTTTCTGGTTGCAGTTGTGGCGTTTCCTGTCGACGGCGGTCATCTGTTGTTGGGGTTCGCAAGATGTTGTCGTTGCCATCGACATTGAGACTTGGCAAGCTTTTGTTTTTGAGCCGAAGCTTGCGTTGAACATGTCGAGTTTAGGCTATCCTTGGCTTCCCTTTCTCTCGCTTGCGGCTTAGCTTCGGCATGCTAGTCTCTTGAAGATGAATTGCATGTATATTGCATGTGGTTGCCCGCCAGTTTATCGTTGGCATCAGCGTCATTTCGTTTGCTATTCTCTAGTGGCTGCCTGTGGTTGGCCCACATCGGCACTGTGCATGGGTCGTGCACCAGGGTCCTCTTCGATGACTTTCTCGGTTTCTCTTGGCGCCTCTTTGATGCTTTTTGGAGGCCTCTTTGAAGTTCTTCGAGGCCTCCTGGTGGCCTTTCGAAAGCTTCTTGAGGCCTCCTGTGGGCCTCTTTGGGTCTATCGGGGGCTTCGTGGGGACCGGGAGCCTGGCATCTCTCGGACGTGTGCATTTTTCCTTCGGCGAGGACCATCGAGGAGCATCCTTGATCATTTCGCGAAAAAACCACGCACGAAACCGGAAAAAACACAGGAAATGGACGTCCGAGCGATGGCCAGGGGGTCTCTGGGGTGTTTGTTGTCCATCTTGAAGGGGGCGCTTCCAGAGGTCCAGCGGTGGCGCGCTCCGTCGTGGAGGCCGCCTGCTGTCCACCTTCCCGCCTTCCCGCCCTGAAGAAGTGTTTGTAGCTCTGAGGGGCACTCTGGTCCCGAGGACATTCCACGCTGTGCGTGCGGCGCGGTGGCGTGGTGGAGATTGCATGCCAGGGTGGCAGCCTGTTCTCAGCTTGACTTTAGCTTGCCTCCTGCTGGCCTGAAGCCTCACCTCAGCTTGCCCCCCGCTGTTTGCCAGTTTGCATTCCGCCTGCTGCCAGGCTTGCCTTCGGCTCGCCATCCCCTTGTCGTCAACAGGTAGTCTGCAGTTGGCCATACCAACTTACCTCCATGTTCCTGATAGTCTGCCCTGCCCACACGCCCCGTCGAATTCGTCTGCACGTGGCATCTCGGCGGTCCGGTTCTAGGGACGAGAGGAGAGGGCCCCTCCAGCCATCAGCCCCTCAGTGATTCGCCGGCTGCATGCCCGATTTCCCAGTGGAGTGTCCAAGTATCCGAGGCGGGGGTTTATCCGTAGTCAACGCCTCGTAGAGTATCTTTGTGCCAGGTTGTAGTAAGGAGAACGAGGGAGGATAACCTCCGATACTTTTTACTCCGAGTCGCCTTATGACGATCCTCGGGCTCAGAGGCGCCCTCTGGACGCTGAAAGTAGCGAAAAACCTCTGGCGCGATTCGCCAGCGGTCTGAGGAGCGTGAGGAGGGAGAGGGTGGGATGAGGAAAAGGGCCCACCGAATACATATTTCTTTTCTGGCGTCTGCCCTTCTGCCTCCTCTCTGCCCTTTGTGTATTCTTGAGGCAGAGTTGGGCCGCCCCTGGGCCCCATCTCGCCAAAGAAGGGAGGAAGAGCTGGAGGAGGAGAAGCAGCAGGACGCCCAGAGGTTTCGTACATTGACGAGTGCTGTCCCAGTGAATTCTGCGCGTTCTAGCCAGACACCTCCAGGGGTGTCCGGTGGTTGCCCGCCTTGCGCCGCCGCCCAGGTATTGGAGGAGACCGGCCAGAAGCTCGCACCCCTTCTGTTCTCTTGCGCAGCGCAGGGGGCAGGGAAGGGAGACGGAAGTAGAGAGGAGATAGGACGAAGAAGAAGGGGAGTGACAGTGACAAGAGGAATCACAATATGCAAGAGGAGGCAGAAGGAGGGATGAAGATCCGAGTGCGAAAGAAGAGGAAGACGGGGAACAGCACACATGTGATACAGGCAGCATCTACAGATACTCATAATCAGAGAAGGCTCCCAGACAGGGGCAGGGCAAAGTCTTCGGGACAGCCCAAGCCCCCAGCCCCCCCCTGTCATTCGAACGCGGCCTGTGCTCTATTTTAGACAGGTTCAATCGAGTTGCGGCCTTCCTCCCGTCCCTTCTGTTCCCCTCTTTTCTCCCTCCACCCGTTCTATCCTGCATGTTTGTTCCTTCCCTCTCCATCCCTTTCTGTTTCCATGTTCTTCTTCTTCGCATTCTCCCTCCTGTCCTCGCCCTGGCCTCTGCTTTTCACATCTTTCGTTTCCATTCACTTCGTGTTCGTCCTCGTCTTCCTTGGCCTCGTCCTCCTCGTCCTGCTCGTCATGCTTGTCCTCATCCTGGCCCTCCTACTCCTCCTCCTGCTCCTCCTCCGCATCTCCATCACATCCACATCCTTCCCCCTGCTTCTGCTCAGTTTTCTTCTCCTTCTCGGAGGGGGGGGCGCGGGAAAGTGGGTTGTGGTGGATGACGATAGTGACGAGATGGATGAGGAGGACGAGCAGAATGATCATAATGAGGAAGGGCATGAGGAGGAGGAGGAGGAGGAGGAGGAGAAGGAGGAGGATAATGACATGAGGAATGGCATGAGAAGGAGGAGAAGGCATGAGGATGGGGAGAACAAGGAGGACGAGGACGAGGATAGTCAGGAGCAGCAGCAGCAGAGGAAGAGGAGGATGAGCTCCTCCTTTGCTGCTGCTCCTCCTCCTCCAGCCCAATGCCTCCGACGGCCCTACACTTTCGAGCTGCAGTCCTCTGGAGCTCTCTCGACACCTCCGCCGCGACCAGCTTTCGCTACCTGTGGCCGATCAATCGGCGACGTATCGTCGATTCCAGATCGATGTTTCCCTCCGTTGAGCCAGTCCCCCCTAGTGCTGCCCATCACCGAGGCGGTTTGGACGTCCATGCTGCCGATCACAAATCTAGGGTGATCTGTTCGTGTCGCTATAGGTCTGCCTAGGCCTTCCAAATTGGGTAAGAATTGGTGGGGTCGGAGGATCGCGCCGCATCGCCGATGCATCGGCGATGCGGCTCGATTTGGAGCCCGATTGTCTCCACGCCGACGTCGCCGATGCATCGGCGACGTTGCCGATACATCGGCGATGCATCGGGGATACGGCGCGATCCTCCGACCGCATCTACTCGGACTCGATTTGGGAGGCCTTTAACTTGGGACCCGCGTCCCCGTCAAAGTCGGGCCCCCTGGGCCTCTCCTGGAGCATCACTGACTTGAGTTTTCAGGCCTGAGTCCAGCCGTGGTGCCAAGAAGCTTATGGAGGCCAGAAGAAGACGACCACTCGGGCGTTCCAAGGGGGGAGTCCGCTGTCGATTGAGGTTTCCAAGGATCAGGCTCTTTGCGAGTACAACCTCGCCCCAACATGTATGAGACGCTTGTCGATTTTAGGCTAACAGTCCGGCTTCCCCTGTCCTCTCCGCCCTTGTCCCGCCCATGACGGGCAGCCTTGAAAGTTTAGGTTTTGGTGGAGGAAGGCGCATGCTCAGCAAGGCGCTCCATGACAAAGTCGAGCCAGGAATGCGCGTCCAATGATGCAGAGATCGATTCTCGAATCGGTGTGTGCTTTTAATCATCTTCCGCAGCGTGACCAGTTCCAGGGAACGTTACGTTCCACGGCAGTGGAAGCGGCACGTCAGGCCAAAGCGTTTGGCAGAAGATGTTCAGCGTGCCGTGCCGCGTCCCGCACTTACCACTCGTGCGTGTGCGGTCTGAGGGTTCGTCGTTGAAAGGGGGTGGTCAATGACGGGGGATGGAGGGCTGCAGGGAAGGGGCCCCAAAAGGCCCAATAGGTCCCCGAAGGTGCACGCAAGGTCGACCTCGATTTCATACCCGGAGGGTGCACTCGGAATGCGGTGGCATGCGCACGTGGAGTGGCCCTGGCCGCTTTCACCAAAGGGCGTTTTGCTAAACGAGGTTCTGTCCACCCCGAAGATAGCCAGGACCCCAGCCAAGGTAAGGGGAGCTTGTCAGTGATTTGGCCCCGAAGCCTAAAATACTAAACCGGCATCATTAAACCAGGTCTGCCGCAGTTGGTGTTTCTTGGGATGGCTATAGTTCCGCTTAGGGGAGGGTGGCGGGGGGGCGTTCCCTAGTTCACATCTCTAGGTCAGTTTTCACTACGCGCAGTCCTGTCAGCGCCCAGGTTGGAGCCTGGTATGTCATCGAAATTATACTTTCGTAGTGCACTAGCGTGCGCCATCCTCTGGTAGTCGATGATAGAGCGCAGACTAAGCGTCGATTAGCGACGATTCGTCGTCGACTAGCGTCGATTAGCGTCGATTCGCGTCGGTTTGCGTCGATTCACAACAGCCAGCAAGATGGCATGAGAAGCTCGCACGAGTTGCCACAAAAGAGTTCCGAGGAGAATCCAGCCATGGCGACGAGGGCTCTCCAAGGTTCAACAGCGGTATCTCGATGGCTCGGTCTCTTTCCCTTCTCCGAGTCCCTCCCCCGCGGGCGTGCCCTTCTCGGGCGCCTCTCGTCTCGTCTCGTCACCTCGGCCACCCCCGAGGCGGTACGCGGAGAACAGGAAGTTCGTAGACTCCCTGAGGCCGCGGCGTTCAGATCGCCCGTCTGCGCCCGCCTACCTCCAGCCCGCCGCGCTCACTGCACTGCGGGCGCGACGTCGGCCCTCAGGGCTGAGCACGAAGGGGCGAGGCTTGAGGATCGAGGGTCTGAAGGATCGAGGGCCTCAAGGATCGAGGCACGAAGGATCGAGGCATCGAGGATCGAGGCATCGAGGATCGAGGCATGGAGGATCGAGGGCCCGAGAGATCCAGGCTCTTTTGCGCATGGAGAGTTGAGGTATGAAGGTTCGAGGTTCGAGTGTCGAGGATCTTGGAAGCTAGCCGTGCTGTTCTTGTCGTGAGCTCCCTGAGGCCGCGGCCTGAAGCCGCGCCGTCTGCGCCCGCCTCTGTCCTGCTGGCACGCCTGTTGCTCCTTCGGACGCGACGGCGCTCTCCAGGGTCTGGGTATCAAGGATGGAGGGTGGGGGTCTGAGGACCGAGGGTTGAGGATCGAGATGAAGGATCCAGGCATGCTCGCGTTGTGACGAAGTCATGGCGGAGTTTTTTCATCGTTTTCGGTGTCTCTGGGCCCTCGCGGGGCCCCGGGATCGTCAAGCAACGATTCGGGACTAAAACCAGCCTTGGGGAAAGGGTCGGGACTTCAGGGACCGCGTGCTGAAAACATCAAACGCTGATTCTGGACGTCTGCACTCTCGGTTGGGCTCTCCGCGAGGCTCCTCGTCGCTGGACCCTCGTCGAAGTTCAGTGTGCAGAACGCACTGTGAGTGTTCCTGGGGCCGATTCTGTAGTGCCGCCATGAAGAAAATGAGTCCTGGGAGCTTTTTAATGATTCCCCCAGGACCCCTCACCGGGCCCAGGGCCGTCAGACAACGACTCAGGATGAATCGGCACGACCGACATGGGCACGGAAAGAATGGGTACAATGCCCAACAGCAGTTCCTGTTCATTTTGAACAGGACTCGCTGTCCGTGCCGCCGCGGCCTGTGTTCATTCGAGACAGAAGGCCACCTGCCCAACAGCGGCCGCTGTTGGTTTGGGACAACGCTTGTTGTTGGGCATTGTACCCATTCTTTCCGTACCCATTCCGGGAGTCCAAAATGAAGATTTTGTCTTCGGAAGGCTCTGGGGTGAAGGACAAGTTTCCCTCTGGACCCGTTTCCATTGGGGCGAATCGCAGCTCGGTAGCAAGGATCTTGTTTTGTATTTGCCTTCTGGGGCCGCCCCGGTGGAGCGAAGCCCCTGTGCAATCCATCGCTCTTCTGGGCGCCGCGTTGCCTGATTGATTAGCAACATCGTGCTTGTGATGCTTTTCGCATCGCAGCTTCGGTTTGCATGGCTTGGTTTTTTTTTTGGGGGGGGTCGTGCGGCGACGTCGTCGCCACGGCTGGCTTTCCTTCGAACCTCATCCCAGCACCCACGACAGGTCGGGGGGCTGATCTCGAGGAGGGCCAAAACGTCTTGGCGTCACGGCTGAAGTCAGGACCGCCAGTTTATGACTACGAGTGTCAGCCTTTGATGATCAAACATGTCTCGGGGATAGGGTCGAGAGCTCCAGGGGCCCCCGCCACGAACAAAAAAAACATCACGTCGGAGGTCTTCTTCGTCGTCGTCTTCATTCATGTGAGGCTGGAGGGTGCACTTCCTCGTGATTCACGTGGCCAAAGTTCAAACTTGCACAAGAAGCGTGGATGTAGGGCGGGCCTTCTTTTTAAGGCACGTGCTCGCCCATGCGCCGCGAACGCTCTGATCGGAACTCCCAGCAGAGTAATGGAAGAAGGCCCCTTATCAATATCTTTACTATGCGACGGCACAGCATGATGCCTGGATGGCTTGAGGACTGAGAACAGCCCTAGCTTGGGAATGGGGCTCCCGTCTTCTTCGGGTTTGGGCTCCTCAGCTCTGCGTGGTTTCCGTCTCGGGTATCTCTTGACTGGATAGGAGAAACTTATTGAAGGGGTGTTTATTCAGAAGATCGTTTTTTGGGTTCATGTCTGCCCCCTTTGGACTCATAAACTTGTTTCCCCCCCAGGTTCTGAAACAAGAGCAACTTCATCTGAACGCTTTGTTGGGCGAGTCGCGAGAAATTCATGGCTCGTTATCGCCCCACCTGAAAATACTCGAGTGTTAGGGTATGCTCTTTCACGCTACGAGCCGCCAGTCATGAACGGTTCATGTCTTGGGGTTGGGGGAATCAACCGTTCATTTTGTCAGGGGAGTGAGACAATGTTTCGTTCATGTGTACGGTTGGAACCGTTGATTTTGTCAGGGGGTGAAAACATGAACTGTTCATTTTTGGCGGCTCTTAGCGTGAGTTAGCATACCCCTATGTCCTGGTTCATGTTTCAAGGGGGTGAGGAAGTGATCCGTTTTTGTTGGGCAGTTCGTATCGTGAGCTTGCATACCCCTAACTCCCGCTTCATGTTGCAGGGGGTGAGACAACGAATTGGAGGTTGGAGGAATCAACCGTTCATGATGTCAGGGGCGTGAGAAAATCAATCGTTCAGTTTTTGGCTGATCGTAGCGTGAGTTTGCAAACTCCTAAGTCCAGGTTCATGTTTCAGTGGGTGCGACAATGAAATTCGTTCATTCGTCGTGGTCGGGCAAATTCAGCTTTCAAGTGGGGGCAGAATGCATCGTTCATATTTCAGGGTCGGGGACATGAACCGGTCATTCTTCGGGTTCGGGGAATGAGCCGTTCAGCTTTCCAGGAAGATGAGAAACTGGATCGTTCATGTTTCGGGGGCGTGGACATGCACCATTCATTTTTCCGTTTGGGGGACATGAGCTCTTCAGAGTTCCAGGGGGTTGAGAGAATGGTGAGGGCGTCATTTTGGACGACAGGAGCAACTGCCGATCCGAAATGATGCTTTCGCTGCAGACAGATCACACTTTTGCACTACCAGGGACGTTTCGATCATAGACGAACCGCTGGACATTGCACATAATGAAATCTGGCGTGGTAAAAGCAATACGCGGAGATGGCGGGAACGTCTGTCACACAGAGTCAGGGGAGATGGATGAGTAGTATTCGTGCTGAGTCATTGTGGGCAGAGAGAGGGAGAGGAAGAAAGTGAGAGAGAGAGAGAGAGAGAGCGACAACAACAAAGCGATAGAGAGAGAGAGATAGAAAAACAAAAGAGAGACCGCAAGGGATACATACATGTATGTCCCACATCCCATGTATAAACAACAAGAGAAGGAGATGGACGAACGTCCGGCTCAAGCATAATCCCACTCCTTTCCGTGAATTTCCTCGAGCACGGTTTCGTTGACATCGTCCGTGGGGTGGACATAGGCGCTGCATTTCGCTCGGCGGGCCAGAGCTGCGACTGCCTTGCCTGCGGTTGTGCGATCACCAGTCCTGCGTGCCCGACGGTACACTGCGTAGACAACTGCTCGGGCGGGTGGATCGCAGTGCCAATCTGCATCGGGCTGGGCTACGTGCTGGCTAAGCTGCCTGGGGCCTGGCGCCCAGGGCTCCCGCAGGCCGCCAGGCCGCCTCCCGAGCCCCTTGCCGCGCCGCTGCCCACGCGGGTGCCAGCGGTCGAGGAGGCCAAGAGCGGCCTGGCGGAGCCTGTTGGCGGGACCTACGCGCGGAGGCGCTAGAGCAGATCAGGCAGGTGCGTGCGCGCCGAGGCTGGTGACGTGGCCATGGCGCAGACACGACTGTTCCTCACCGGCCTCGCAGAGGGGGGCTTCTACCTGGTGCGCTTGAGCGCGCCAGGCCCCGTGCCCCACTTCGGTATGAGCGCCGGTGCGTTTTCCTGCCCAACCAGCCTGGCGCGGCCACCTGCTGCTCGGCCCCAGATGGCGACAGTTACGAGGAGGACCTGGCTCCAGGTCGAGACACGGCGGGATGGTGCTTCTTGCTTGGCGGCGCGCAAGGCAGGGCCGCCCCTGCGGGCGCGGCAGGCGCTGCGGCGCGGCTCTACCGCTTCCGGGCCGTCCCCTTGACCGCGGAGCTGAGCCAGGCGCGGGAACGCTCGACCCACAGGGTCGGGGGTGTCCCCTCAGGCTTGCCGCTGGGGCCGAACACGGCAGGCCGAACAGGCGCCCCCCCGGCGGGGCTGGGCGTGCTGGGCGCGCCGCCCGTCGTACCGGCTGGGGCCGCGGCCGCGGCCGCCGCGCCCGCCGCCCCGGGGCTCGCTCCCGGTGCCGCCGGCCTTGGAGGAGGGCTCGCCGCGCCGGCCGCCGTGCTGGGACCTGCTGAAGGTGCCGTCGTGCCTGGAGCTGGTCCTTGCGGGGGCCCCCCCCGTGGCGCCCGCTGTGCCGGTGCCGCTGGAGCTCCGGTTGCCGCAGCCCCTGGGCCCGCGCCGCCGGCGGCGCCCGCGCTGCCCGTCGGGGGCGGGGTGGCGGCGGGGGCAGCGGACCCCAGGGTGCGCCCGATCCTGGTGGACACGATGGCCATGCGCCGCCGTGCCTTCGCCAACGCGCCGCCGCTGTTGACGGAGACTTCGTGGGCGGACTGGCCAGTGAGCGGCCCGCGCTCGCTGAAGTGGGCCTGCCATTTCCTGGCAGGCAACGGCGGCAGCCCCGTCGCTCGGCACCATCGGTGGAAGACGGACTGCAGGCTGACGACCGAGGGCCAGCTGAACGTGACGGAGACGGCCAGTTTCGAGCTTCCGGGTAGGTGTTTGCAAATCACTGAGGAGAAGTACCGCGAGCGAGCTGCAGGCGCCTCCGACCCGGCGCGCATGGATCAGAACCTGTTCTTAGGGGCGGATCTGGCCCGTGGCAACTGCTGCATCTGTCCGGCACCTCAGACGCGGGCGAGCCAGGAGCAGGCCCAGGAGCGCGCGATTCGGAAAGAGAGGAGGAAGGCGCGAGAATTACGCGCCGCTGCACAGGCTGCCGCCAAGGCCAAGTCGAAGGCCAAGAGTGGCAAGGATGGCGGCTGCGATGATGGATATGCAGGCTGGCGGCGGCGAGGACAGGGCCGCCCCCGCCGGCTTTCGCAGGCCCCCGCCTGGGCTTGGCCACCCTGGTGCCGCTTTTCATGGCGATGCATTATGCTCCCCTGGTGCTGGGCCCAGCCCCGACCCTCGGCAGCGTGACCTCTTCCCGCTGCCGCCACTGGCGCCTCGCAGTGGCGCGGGGGGCTCTTGCCCCGGGCGCGGCCGCGTCGCGCCCCGGCGGCGCCAAGGGGGCGCCGAGACGACCGACTGGGCCAACAGTTGCATGGACTCGCTGAACTCGGCGCGCGGGTTTTCCAAGCCTGAGCAGCCGCAGCGAGCGGCCAACGCTGGTCAGCAAGCTGCCCTCGCAGACATCCTGGGTGGGATTTTCTCATTGGGGTCTCCGCCTGAGGAGGCGCCTGGAGGCGCGGGGGGGATTGCCGAGCTTTGCGCCGCTGGCGGCCCGTGCCGCGCGGGGCCTTCCAGCGCTCGACCCAATGCCAAGGGGGAGGTTTCCCTGCCCGCTGTTTTCCGGCAGTCCCGTGCCGCTCGCCTCGGGCGAGAAGAAGTGGCTGGGTCCTGCCTGTAGCAATCTGCTCAGACGGGCAGCTGATGCTGCAGGCCTGGTTGCAGAGGCCTGCCCGCGCGGGCCCTGCGCAGGCGGGGCCCCGCCGGGCCGGCCTCTCTGTCGCGCCGGTTTTTGTTCGGGACCTCGCCAGCAGGCGGAATATTTGTTTTCGACGCTCCTCCGAGGCTCGCGCCCGGGCGGGGATCTTCTTCGATCGTTGGGGCTCATTTTCGTTGCCAGACAGGTGAATTATTTTTGTTCCAGGATCCGTTTTCGACGAGGCTCCCCAACTCAGCCGCGCTGAGTTCTGTTGAGCCTGGGGCCGTAGGCATGTACGTGTCTGGGGGGTGAGATCGACAATTGCTTCTACCGCGTAGGTCTGCCAGAGGAGCTGCGCGAGTATTTCCCGCTGCCTGACATTACTGGTGGCTGCCTCGGCATCGCTTCTCTCGACGGGCAGCCCGCGGGCCCCCCCGACGCCCTCGCGCCCGTTTTCGCTGTTTTCTCTTTGGGGTGGTCTTGGGCCATGCATATGGTTCAGTCGGTGCTTGTGAACAGCTTGGTTATCCCGGGCTTCCGTCGGCCCAGATGAGCCCATGGCCCCAGGGGGCGATCGGTCGCGCGTTGCGGCGGGGCGCGCCGCTTTCAGTCGCTCGGCCTCCGGCCCAGGCGGGCCGGGGCGCCATCGCACAGCGCCTGTCGGAGCGCGCTCCAGATCCGCGAGCCGACCGACGCGTGCTAGGGCGCCGGGTTTCTGGGGGTGGAGCCCGTCAACTGTCGGAGGCTCTCGGTTCGTCGTCGCGCGATTTGGCGTCTCAAACGGGCCCTGGATGTCGTTATTCGCAAACGGCATGCTAGTGGGGAGCTTATGCAGATATGACTTGGGCATCCTACTTGGGCGGTATCCGGCGGGAGTGCCTCGCGCTGGTCGCAGACGTTTACGCAATTCAAGCGCGTTGCCGGTTGCGAGCCGACGCGTCTGTGGCCCGGCGTTCTCGGAGAGCTCTGCTGGATTCGAGGTGCGCACGCCGCCCTTGTCCTCAGATCAATCCGCCGCTTGGAGTCAGCAGGTCTCGGCGTCAGACGCGTCCGCGCGCGGGCTCGGGGTTTGCTCGCGTCCGCCGGGCGTCGACGCGGTGGGCTCGATCTGTCGTTGCCCAGGAATGCGGCGGTTCAGGGTGGGGGGTCATGCGAAGGCGAGACAGTTCACCCGGTACGTCCCCGCCCAGGCCGCGAGAACCTAGATGCCGGCACGTGCGATGGCGACGAGAAGCCAGACGTCAACCATTCGCGCGACGATCTCCAAGTGTTCTAGGACCCTGGTTGCATCTTACAGTGGGCCCAGGCTTTCAACGATGTTCTTCAGTGGGTATTCCAAGGGGGGTCTTGGTCCACGGCCCCTGCGGCTGCGGTCTTGGGGGATGCAAATTTCGCGTACCTCGAGGGGGGCGCCTTACTGTTGGCTGCGAGACATCTGCTTCGTCGTGGTGGCAACTTCGGCACGCAGTGCCTTGTATTTGTGCCCCCCCCTCGCCTTAGCTATGGCTAAGGGGGGGCCAGCGCTCGGCGGCCTTCGTCGGCCCTCCGACAACTGCGCCTTCTCAGTCCCTGTTCAGGCACGAAGTATGTCACCCGGTGGATCCCTTCAGAGTGGAATATTGAAGACGCCCCGTCGCGTGGCCGTTTGGGGTGGTTCTCTGGCGGGCGCCTGCCTTCGGCGCCCCAGCCGGCACGTGGGCCGCCGGCGCGGGGGCGGCGCGAGTCGGGCCCTGCGCCGGCCGAGCAGCGGCGCCCCCCCGAGGCAGCGCCCGGCCAGGCAGCGGGGGCCGCCTGCCCTTGTCGCGGAAAAGAGCCGCGCCGCCCGCGAGCCCGTGAGCCTTCAGCCCAGCCTGGGGCGCCTGAGCGCGCTGGAGGCTGGCCACGGAGGCGCTGCACGACTCAGCGCTGAGGCGCGTCGCGGATTTCTGCCAGCAGGGGGGGGCATGTGGACGGACATCGCGTCGCAGGACTTGGTGCTGGTCGCGTTCATGAACCGCCTGTTCCTGTTGGGGCTCGCGCCGGACGTGGGCTCGCAGACCCCGTCGGCGCCGGGCCACTGGCTGCTGGCGCGGTTGCGAGCCTTTTTATCCACCGGGGCCTGCCGCGAGTGGGGTCACTGCTGCTTCTGGCGCTGGTGGCCTACCTTCGGCCGCGCGAGCTGACCGGGCTTCGGGCCCGCCACGCGGCGCCGCCGGCGCCGAATGTCGGCGCCGCCCATGCCGCCTGGGGGCTCCCGCATCAGGACGTGGCCACGCTCCAGCCAGGAGGGGCAGGCGAGCGGGGCGAGTCGGCGCAGCTGGACCTCGACCCTTGGGCTCCGAGGCCAGACGCGCTGATGCGCGACCTCGGCCCCGCCGACCTCGAGGCTCCGTTCGAGGGCGCGGCCTCGCTGCTTGGCCCGGCGCCACTGCTTCCCACTCTGCATCAGCCGCGGCACGCCTCTGAGGACCTCGCTTTGCAACGCAGGCCGCAGGCCGCAGTGCAGAGGCGAGGGCGATGGCAGAGCGAGGCCTCGCTCCGCAGGTGCAGCAAGGAGCCCAAGCTGCTGGCTACCCTCAGCCTCGCGCATCCAGAGGTGGCGTCGTTCGGCCAGTCGGCGGTAGACAACCTGGAAGCGGCGCCGCTCTACGGGCCGCTGGGCCAGCGAAGCCGGATCGCGCGGGGGCACGCGACGTCGGCGCCGTTGGCCGCGGGGGGCCCCGTGTCCCTCCTGTCCAGGTGCTGCCCGGGGAGCCAAGCGGCCGCCTCGCTGACCGCTTCGGGCGCAAAGGTCACGCGGCATCTCCACCACCGCTTCGGGGCAGAGATCAGGCGGCCCAGCCGTGAGAGGCGGGCGTTGGGCCCGCGCTTCTTCCTGGGGCTTTTCAGCGGCTGCGGGGCTCTCTCGCAGGCCGCCAGACGGCTCGGCGGAGCCGCGCTGCCGCTGGACTGGGCCCGTGGCGCCGCAGAGGGCTATCTCCGTCGCGCTTCCCTCCAAGTCGTGAAGGGTGGGATTTCTTCGAACGCTATGTCTGGTGTCTTTCTTGGGTCTCCGTGCGCTTCTTGGGCCCGCGCGGTCCGCGTCTTGCTCGGGGCGTCCGCCGAGCCCATAGGGTGTCGAATTTCTTCCACCGAGCATCCGAGGAAGGTCGATGTCGGGAGCGCGTCTTTACATTTGACCATCGCCATATTTCGCTTTTGCAGACGGTGCCGTGATCCTGCTGGTCTCGAGAACCACCGCGCGTCAATCTTGTGGCTCGCGGCGCCGGTCACCCCTTTCCTCCGCGCTGAAGGCTTTCGGATTCATCGATTTCATCAGTGACCCTACGGTACCCGGTGGAGAAAAAGCAGCGGCTATGTGGGGGCTTGTATTTGCGACGACTTGTCACTTGCGTGCGGGGGCCAGCCAAGGAGGCCCATGCGGTCACGCTGGACGCCCGCGTGCCATCCTTCGTGGTCGCGACCCCGGGGCCCCTGCTAAACGCGCGGCCCTGGCGGCTGCCTATCCCGAAAAGTCGCGCGTCTGGTTTTGGCCAAGCATATGATGTGTTTTGCCAAGGAGTTGAGGTCCTCGGGGACGTGGGGCTGGGGGCGGGTTGGCGTCCAGACCTCCAGTGCATTGCATTCGTTCTTGCCGATGGCCGTTATCATTCCGCCATTTCTACATCCGTTTTTTATGAAGTGAAGGGTAAAGGAGAGCATCAGTCCTTGCGTGCCCATGAAAGCTTCTATTCGGGGTTCCTGTCGGGTCCTCGTCTTTTTAGGTCTACACCAGTCTGGCGTCGGGGATGGCCACGGGTGCGATATATATATATATATATATATATATATATATATATATATATGTATGTATATATATACATATACATATACATGTGTATGTATATATATATCAATGTATATATACATATATACACATAAACGCGGGAGAGAGAGTGTGTGAGAGAGACAACAAAATAATATTACGCGCGGTTCCTGGATTTGTCAGGATGTATGAGGCGAGAACGCGACTCGTGAACCTATTGAAAAGAGGTTTCAAACGAGAGCGCGATCTTTGAAACGCGAGAGCGGGACCCTCGTATAAGATGTGAGGGGTCTCAGGCAGGATCAGTTGGTGTAGTCGGGACCCCAATTCGTTTGTGGCTCAATTCTGTCTCCAGAGAAAAAAGTAGGGCGCGAGAGGCGACGTGCACAGGTGGGAAAACAACGGGCACCGCTGGATGGCGGGAGCCGACAGCAGTCATTCTCCATTGGGGCGAGAGTTCAATGCACACCGCGAAGCCCCCTTTCATCCACACGCCAATGGTCAGAGCAAGACCGCTCGGCCCCCTTCGCTCTGATGTGCCAGCCCGGCCTCGACCTCCGCAGACTCCGATCCCCTGCAGGCTCTTCGACGCCCTCACTTCCAGACAGAAGGACTGCTTCGCGGAGGAGGTCTTCGCCGAGGTTTTCGAGGCGTCCGTCGGCGCGAGGGGCGAGGGGAGGAGGGAGGATGAGGAAGAGGACTTTGGGAAAAGGAGCTAAACAAAGAACCGGGATGAGGAGGAGTGAAGAGCGAGGAGCGAGGAACGAGAAATGAGGAGGAGGAGAAGGATGAGGAGGAGGAGGAGGAGGAGGAGGAGGAGGAGGAGGAGGAGGAGGACGAGGAGGAGCAGGAGGAGGAGGAGGAGGAAGAGGAACAAATCTGGGGAGCTAGAGAAAGACGATGACGAGGACGAACGAGGAATGGCGAGGGGGAGGATGAGGAGGGCGAGGAGGAGGAGGAGGAGGAGGAGGAGGAGGAGGAGGAGGAGGAGCACGAGCACGAGGACGAGGACGAGGAGAGGAGGAGGTATGAAGAAGGAGAGGGAGGGGCCGTCCGCCCCGCTCGCCCTCGCGCTGCCGCCGCCAGACACCGGGCGATCGCGTCGTGACCCAGGGCGAGGCGCGCTGCCGCCCCGCGCCGTGGGCCAGCCGCCGTCGGCCCGTCGTCGGTCGTTGGCGGCCCGGCGGCCGGCGGCGGCCTTCGGCGGCCCTCGGCGGCCCTCGGCGGTCCTCGGCGGTCTTTGGCGGCCCTCGGCGGCCCCGGCCAGCAGCGCGGAGCTTGTCGTCGTCGTCGTCGCGTTCGTCTTCGCCGTCATCGTCGTCGTCGTCGTCGTCATCGTCCGTATTTCGTCGTCGTCACGCAGTCTTCGTTGTCGCTGGGAGAAGACCGGGGGGCGCAGGAGGAGGAGGAGGAGGAGGAGGAGTTTGGTCGCAGCCGGGAGGCGTCGTGCAGAGATCGGCCAGGGCAAGGGGGGTTCTCGCACTGCCAGACAAGCCCATACCCGAAGATGGGCCGAGCTTGGCACTCCCATCGCTTCCCCCCAAAGGGTGGGGAGGAGGGCGCCAGGTGACATCACAGTGGCTGCCCCGCCCATGCGGCCATCCGATGACGCACGCATGCGCGTTTTTCCCCACCCGAGAGGTTGGGGTTGATCGACTTAAAGAAGAGAGCCCCCGACCAGCCTCACACACACTGCAGCCCAACATGCGCCAGTGCTACCAAAGGAACCCGCCTCGTGTCTTCGACGAATGACGAATGTGTCCGTGCTCCCTGGTGTTCCCGCCTCGCGTTCTCGGGTGGGGATCGCTTGAAGCAAAATAGTTAGTTGAGCTGTTCTTTCCCAAGAGTCATTACTGCGCCCGGTGCCCTTCTTGTTTTTCAATGAAAGTGCTCATCCCTGGGCTCGCACCTCATTTTTCAAAAGTCTTGGGCGTCAGACTGCGCCACTGGCCCCCAACTTCCAACAACAGCTCCCGCCTGATTCTTCTTCGCATCTCATTAAAAATCGCGCTATCGCGCTGGAAGACCTCACAATTTCTAAAGGAATCACGCTGTCGTGTGTGACTTTCTCGCAATATGTTGTGACGCCAAGCCCCCGACACTCAGAAATCACGCTCTCGCGCTAGATTCCTTACGATTTATTCGGGGATTGCGGTATCGCTCGAGACCGGTATCGCTCGAGACCATTCTTGCAGGACTGACGCTTCAGCGACCCGCCCGTTCGATCGGGCCGTCTGGGCCCGCCCGCCCGACCCGCCCCGCCCGTCCGTTTCTGTCGCTTGATTTTCTGTTCCTGATCCCCCTCTTGCTTATCTCTGTATTGCCCCATCCTTTTCTCTCCCTGTTGTCCCTTCCCTCCTCCCTTCCTCCGTTTTAGGGGCTGCGCCAACTACACGTTACAGGCAAGGAAGATATATTCTCAAGGGGGTACGATCGAAAACGAAGAGCGCGGATGTTGAGGGTTTTGATATACGTGTTGAATAGCACGCGAGCGGAAAAGAGCGAGCAATTTTAAAGGCATTGTTTTTGTTGTTATTTAATCGCTTTGCTCATTCCGCTGGCCCTGGAGCGCTATTTGGGGCCTCTTGGGGCCGTCTTGGGGGCCTCTTGGGGGCTTCTTGGGAGCGTCTTGGGGCTCCTTGGCGGCGTCGTGGGCTCCCCTGGGGTCTCTTAGGGGGCTCTTGGGGGCTCCTTGGGGCGGGAGGGGGGGTAGTCGATTGCAGCCACCCCCTCGGAGGCCACGATCCTCGTGAGGGGTGGCGGAAAATAGCCTCCTGCCTGGGGATCGCCCGGGACCCGGCCGGGGATCGGCCGGGGTATTTTTCGTCCAGGGGCCCCCAGGGGCAGCCGAGCGCGCGCGAACTAGTTAAGTAGTTATCGGAGATCTTAGCACGCCTCTGGCCCGTTGGGCCGGCGAATTGTGGTTGTTGTTGTTGTTGTTGTTGTTGTTGGTGTTGTTGTTGTTGTTGTTGTTGTTGTTGTTGTTGTTGTTGTTGTTGTTGTTGTTGTTGTTGTTGAACTCTCAATCTTGAGCAATACGTTTCGTTGATCCCCCTCACGGGTGCACATGGTGTTTTGCCCATCCATTTTGTGGTGTTGGGTCCTCGTTTTGACCGGACATTCCCCGCGTCTCCTTCTCCTCTTCTCCGCCTCCTCCTCCTCCTCCTCCTCCTCCTCCCCGTCCCCCCTCTTCTCGTCACCCCCCTCACTTTGGCACACCCCTCACACGTTTCGCGGCCCTACAGGGAGCTTCACCGAAGGCCCCAGTGGCATGGTTCACATGCCGCCCCCCCTCCTCTTTGGCATACCCCTCAAACGTTTCGCAGCCCCGTAGCGAGCTCCACTGAAGGCCCCAGTGGCATGGTTCGCATGCCGACCCCCCCTGGTCATTTTTGGCACACCCCTCACACGTTCCGCGGCTCCATGTGGAGCTACACACCAAAGGCCCGTGTGCCATGATTCGCATGCCGCCCTCCCTCCATTTTGGCACACCCTCACACGTTTCGTGGCCCCACATGGAGCTCCTCCGAAGGCCCCAGTGGCATGGATCGCATGCCGCCCCCCTACACTTTGGCACGACCCTCACACGTCTCGTGGCCCCACAGGGAGCCCCACCCCGGTGTCCGCATGCCTTTCCCCCACCCATTACACCGTCTCGTAGCACCATCGGGAGCTCCACCGAAGATCCCAGTGGCGGTGTCCGCATGCGCACCCCCCCCACACCCAGTACAGCGTTTCGTGGCCCCATCGGGAGCTCCACCGAAGGCACCAGTGGTGGTGTCCACATGTGTTTCCCCGACCTAGTACAGCGCTTCGTGGTCCCATGTGGAGCTCCACCGAAGGTCCCAGTGGCGGTGTCCGCATGCGTTCCTCCCACCATCTACAGCGTGTCGTGGCCCCATATGGAGCTCCACCGAAGGTCCCAGTGGCGGTGTCCGCATGCGCTTCCCCCACCCTGTACACCGTTTCGTGGCCCCATGTGGAGCCCCACCGAAGGCCCCAATAGCGGTGTCCGCATGCGTTTCCCTACTCAGTACAGCGTTTCGTGGCCCCATATGGAGCCCCACCGAAGGCCCCAGTGGCGGTGTCCGCATGCGTTTCCCCACTCAGTACAGCGTTTCGTGGCCCCATATGGAGCTTTACCGAAGGTCCCAGTGGCGGTGTCTGCATGCGTTTCCCCCACCCAATGAGTTCCATTGGAGGCCCCAGTAGCGGTGTTCGCGAGCATCTCCCCTGCCCAGTACAGCGCTTCGTGGCCCTTGTAAGGGAGCTCCACCGAAGGTCCCAGTGGCGGTGTTCGCACGCGTCTCCCCCACCCAGTGCAGCACTTCGTGGCGCCATGTGGAGCTCCACCGAAGGCCCCAGTGGCGGTGTTCGCAAGCGTCTCTCCCACTCAGTACAGCGCTCCGTGGCCCCATAAGGATCTCCACCGAAGGCCTCACTGGCGACTTTTGCATGGCGGCCCCGCTTCATTTCGGCACACCCCTCACACGCTTCGTGGCTCCATATGGAGCGCCACCGAAGGCCCCAATGGCTGCGCACGCATGCGTCCCCGCCCAATTTCAGCACACCCTTTACACGCTTCGTGTTCCCACAAGGAGATCAACCGAAGGCGATACCCACAGCGGCGATACTCACAGCTGCAACTGGTTGGGCCCTTCGCCATGATAATTCAATTGAAGTAGCCCCCTCGGGGCTCGCACCTTGTTGTTATCAGGAGAAGTCTTCCTGCTCAAACTAAGTTGTTGGGCCCCGAACTACAACAAACAAAACAACAACAACAACAACAACAACAACAACAACAACAACAACAACAACAACAACAACAATCACTTTACCCGAACGCTCAGTGTTCTCACCAGTGCCAGGGTTTTCATGCGACGCCAGCCAATACCCCCACTTTGTGGGGGGGCAGTGCAAGCTCTACCAAATATCCACACGACTCTTCGCCACCACCCACACCCAGCTTCCCGCCCTATGACGTTCGGACACTTCACTTCGTGGCCTGCGGACGACCGTGGCTACTACACTGGCGTGGAGTACACACCCACAGAAGTTGTTAAGCCTACGTTCGTACACCCACAGAAGTTGTTAAGCCTTGGCCCCTGGCAGGCGCGCGAACCCCGTTGCAAGAGCGTGCGAAAGTAGCTCGCGCGAGCTCATGTAACATAAATGTTGGGAAACCATTGTTTTTTTTTTTTAGGATTCGGACAGCGCGCGCGGGTGGAAATTTTGAAAAGTCGTGCAGCTGTTTTTCGAGGACCTACGGTGCGATTCGTGTGATTTTATGATGCGCGGTGGTAAAATTCTTAAGAACCCAATGGTTTTTGGAGATTTCGGCGTGCGCGCGCGAAGAAAAAACGAATGGTATTATTTGACAGGGATGATGGCCCTGGCAGGTGCGCAACCGTTGTCGCAGAAGTTCGAAAAAGTTGCTCGCAAAAGCCCGTTTGACAGAAATGTTTAAAAAGTGTTGGGTTTCCTACGAATCCGCAAGAGCGCGCGGGATGAGATTTTGACATTTTTTTGTTGAAAAACCATTGGTTTTTTGATGTTTTTATGTTAAAATCGCTCCGAACACTAAGCTTTTGGAAGGATTTCGTCTTGCGCGCGCGAATGTCCACTTTACCTTATTTTTTGCAAGGGATTCTTGAAATTTGATTATATTAGAACAAGAAATGTCATTTTATAGTGTTTTTTGCAAGGGAAAGCGGGGGGGAACAAAACAACCGGATCTTGATCACATCGAATTACCTGAGGCTTCCTCACGAAAATGATGAAAATGTAGCTGCGGCCTAGGCGGCGCAGGGGGGCCGTGCACCAGGGGTCCCAACAATAATTATTCTTTAGAATTAATAATGTTCAACAACAACACCATCAACAACAACAGCAGCAACAACAACAACAATAACAACAACAACAGCAACAACAACAACAACAACAACAACAACACCGGCTTTCGCCGGATACTTCCTCCGAATTGATTCCAGAGTCGCGCTCTCGCGTGGGACTTCCTCACAGTGTATGCAGGAATCGCGCTCTCGCGTGGGACTTCCTCACAAATTATTCAGACGCCGCACCTCGACACTCAGGAATCACGCTCTCGCTTCGGCCTTTGTCGCGATTTACTTGGGATTTACTTTTCCGTGGCCCCGTTGCAGCCCGTCGTGGCCCCCTCGCTGCACTTCACGGCCCCGTTGCAGCCATTCGTGGCTCCCTCGCTACCCTTCGTGGCCCCGTTCCTTCGTGGCCCTCTCGCTGCCATTCGTGGCCCCGTTGCAGATCGCGCTATCGTTCGAGATGTCCTCGCAATTCATGCAGGACTCACGCTTCAGCAACCCGCCTGCTCGACCTGGCCGCCTGGGCTCGCCTTTTCGACCCGCTAGCTAGGCTCTGCGCGCCCGATCTGCCCTTTTGGTTATGCCACGTTTTTTCTGCTCCCAGCCCTCGCTCCTGCTAGTCTCTCTCGTACTCCATTCTTCTCCCTTCCCCTTCCTTCCGTCCTCTCGTTCCCTGTTTTAGGGGCTGGAGATAAGGAAGATATACCCCCAACGGGGTACGATCGAAGACGAAGCAGGCGGGTACCGAGGGTTTGAGATATACGTGCTGACATGCACGCGAGCTGATAGGAGCGCACAGTCTCAAAATGATTGTTTGATGGACACACTGCATCCGCACTGGCGCTCTCGCTCAGCGCAGGCCTGCGTTTCGGGAGTGCGCCGAAACCAGCCCTTCAACGACAACGCTCCCGCTCGACACTTCCTCCGTTTCTGCTCGAGACCGAGGCTTTTGCTCGCTGCTGAAAGTCTGCTTTCGAACAAAACCGGCGCTCCCGCTCGATATTTCCTGACTTTTATTCAGGACCGGCGCTCCCGCCTCGTTGCCGCAGACGGCCCCCCCTTCAAACAACGACGCTCCCGCTCGATTTTTCCTCCGTTTCTATTCAAGACTCCCATTAGCCCTGGGGCTTACCTCGTTCTCAGTGCCGATCCTCAAGAGTGCAGCATTCACTGTCGGAAGTCTGCACCGGTGCCTCCCTGGGGCGCTCCGCGTGCCAGGGGCGGCCTGAGAGCTCGCGGCGGCGACCCCGTCGTGGTCGTCGTCGTCCTTCTCTCCGCCTCTTCATCCGTCTCCTCCGCCCTCGTTTTCCCTTCTCGTCCTTTCTCCTCCTCCTCCGCCTCCTCCTGCTCCCTCCTCTTCTGTCTTGCGAGAGGCCCAGGAGCTCCTCCGATCCAAGCATTTTTCAGAAAATGCCTTGAGGCCTCCTTCTGGATGCCCCGGAATCCTCCCGTTCAGTTTTACAGTTTCTCGCAGGGCCCCCCATGGTTCCCGCAGGGGTTGTGAAGCTTCTCTGAGAGGCTCGGGGGGCTTTCCCAGGTGCTTCAGGGGCTGTCCAGGGGGCCCTGGGGGCTCTCCTAGAGGTTGTGGGGCCTCTCCCAGAGGTCTCACTAAACTGCTGAAACCCTTGGTTTACAACAACAGCGTCTCACGCATGATATTTCCTCACAGTGTATTCCAGAATCGCGCTCTCGCGCGGGAATTCCTCTGAATGTATTCAGGAATCGCGCTCTCGCGAGGGACTGGGCAATTAACTCAGACGCCGCGCCCTCGACACTCAGGAATCACGCTCACGCTGTAGCTATCTCGGCAGCCGGCCGATCGCGAGCGTCCGGCGCGGAGCTGGGCCTCCAAGATGGGGTCCTCTTGTTGCTCCTTGTCATTCTCCTCCTCTTGGTCCTCCTCCCTCTCACCGCTCCTGATCCCTCCTCCTCCTCCTCCTCCTCCTCCTCCTGGTCCCTCTCCGCTTCCGTCTCTCCCTCGCCCGTCTTCTCGTCCCGCTCATTGCCCGATCGACTGTGGTGCGAGCCAGGCCGGAAATGTAACGACCAGCCGTGCTCTCCCGAGCTTCCCCGGGGGGGCTGGCCGTGCGTCGGGAGCCCGAGAGGAAAGTGCAGCTGTGGTCGCGTGCTGCATCTTGCTGACGATCGAAGTCCTCGCTGTTGGCATCAACACCGATATCGGCGGTGTGCCTCCTCCGAGCGAAGAGGATCCCGATCTCGGTGATGGTGGTCATATTCAGGCTTTTGGGTGGCCGAAAAGCTTCCACTGACATCAACATCCAGGATCCAATTTCCCTGGTGGAGGCAAGCGACCCCCTGTGCTGGTGTTGGGCCCACTTCCAAACCTCCAAGAGCAGATGGTGCCAGAGGATCGCGCCGCATCGCCGATGCGGCTCGATGTGGGGTCCGACTTTCCCCTCGTCGATGCTTGCCGGTGCGTCGGTATCCGGGAGGCCTGCAGCGATGACCTCCCAGAGCCTGCTCCCTGAAGTTCGCGGAGGAGGGGGAGGAGGAGGAGGAGGAGGAGGAGGAGGAGGAGGAGGAGGAGGAGGAGGAGGAGGAGGAGGAGGAGGAGAACGAGGAGGGAGGAGGAGGAGGAGGAGGAGGAGGAGGAGGAGGAGGAGGAGGAGGAGGAACCGATCCCTTGGAGCCCTGCACGAGCCCCTCCGGCTGTCCGCCGGCTGCCTCGGCACACGGCCCGGGGCCTCGGCGCACGGCCGCTCCGAGCCCCGTGCGCCCTTTGCGCGGCCCCACGCGCTGTCTCGGCAGCCGGCCGATCGCGACCCGCCGCGCGGCGCCGGGGCAGCGCGGCGTGCGGTGGCTGCGGCCCCAGGCGCCGACGCGCCCCGCGACGCGCCCCGCGACGCGCCCCGCGACACGCCCCGCGACGCGCCCCGCGACGCGCCCCGCGACTCGCCCGCTCGCCAGGGTAATCATCCGGGTGATCGAGGTCCGTCAGGAGCACTTTGCCCCCAGCCTTGAGCGCTCATGGCGCCCTGCAGAAGGCACCCCCATCGGCCACGGGGACGCGGGCGTCTTCGCATGCGAAGCCACCTGGCGGCGGCGGCCGTGCTGGGGCTCTGCGCTGAGGAGCCCTGTTGCCAGCGTTGTGGCGCGGCTGCCTGTCTTGGCCTCCCTCCCCAGATCTCCATCGTCTCGAGAGACTCGATGTGGAGGCTTTTCGCTGTTGCTGGCCTCAGGGGGGCCCTCGCCGTGCCCCAGGACTGTCAGAAAACGGCTCAGGGTGTGAGGAGAAGGTTCAGACCTCCCAGGGACCCCGCAGTGAGAAACTCAAGACATCGGAAGTCTGTGTCTGCCGCGCGCCCGAGCGCCTGTTGCGGGCGCGCGCCGACGCCGGAGGCTCACGTGGGCCAGCTCCTTTGACCCTTGAGAGCAAGAGTCGTTGCTGAGGGAGGGGTTTGTGGAGGAGGAAGGAGGAGTGGGGGGAGGAGTGGAAGAGGGAGGAGGAGGGGAAGGGGGAGGAGGAGGAAGGAGGGAGGGAGGGAGGGAGGGAGGGAGGGAGGAGGGAGGGAGGAGGGAGGGAGGGGGAGGAGGAGGAGGAGGAGGAGGAGGAGGAGGAGGAGGAGGAGGAGGAGGAGGAGGAGGAGGAGGAGGAGCAGGAGGATGGTGAGGGGGCATATCCTGAAAGGTGCTTCTGTGGTTCGGAATATGTGGCAAATTGCTTGCGCCGGTAGAGCACACACATGGGGAGCTCTCTTGTCAGCCTCACGCTCAGTTGTTCTATCTGCTGCCTCCTTCCATCCCGTATGCCCGGCATTGTCCTCCACGCGTTACCATGCAGGCTTTCTATTCCTCCACCGCCCGCCCCTGCACGTCCCGTCCTCTATGTCTCCTCGCCCTTTCTTTGCAGTCCGCGTGCGTCGCTTGCCCCTCACTGCGGGCCTCGCCCGGCAACCACGCCAGACCAGCTCCGCCATTCACTTCGTGAAGTCTGGGGAGCTCCAGGCGACTCGGGCGTGTGCGTGCCCTTCACACCTGAATATTTTCATTTTCGAGCGCGTCCAGGTACCATCGGGAGTGTTTGGGTGGAGCTTGGCCCCGTCCGGCGATTCCTCAGCTGCACCCTGCGGGGAGCTTCGTAGAGGCGTTCACGTCGCCCCGACTACGGTCAAGACGCCGAGAGAAGGTTTGGCTCAGGAGATGGTCATGGTTTTCGGGCCGCTCTTCAGACCTTGCCTAGGAACCTGTTCGTGGCCGAGGGAGGCTCGCCGTGGTCAGAAAAGCCCCTTCGTTCCTACGGTCGGGAACTCTTGGATCGCGGGTAGCTCCACAGGTTCTGGCCCACCACGCTAATGTCCATTTCCCAGTAGGCGTCAACGTCCTGAGTTTTTCCCGCCTTCCCGTTCCTCGCGGCGGAGCGCCACGCTCTCCGCTTACATGGTGCAGCGTGCAGCGTGTCGCCGGGGCCGCCGCGGCGACACGCTGAGGCAGGAATTTCTAACCGCAGTTCAGCGTTTCTTCCGGTAGCACGGCGGCCGTACTCTTCCAGAAGTTGCCCGCCGGGCAAGTTCTGGAAGGGACCGCCGAACTTGCAGAACTTCCAGGTCTTCCAGAACTTGCCCGCAGAACACGCAGGGACCGCCCGGCGGGTGGTCCCTGCGTGTCGCCTCCGTGCCCTCGGAGGCGGTTCGCCGTGGACCGGGCGCGGCTCGGAAGGTGGCATCGTTGCGTGATGCCCGACCCCCGAACGGAACCTCCGGGTCGGGTTTAGAGGTCGCGGTGGCGATCGCGGCGGGTACAAATCGGGGCACTGTTTTTGTCAAGGAGTGGCATGCCCTTCCTCTGCCCACCCCCCGCTGCGATGCAGAGGTGGCTCATCACTGGAAATCTAGCAACAGAGAGTTGTCAGCAGATAGCCAACGTTGGTCGATGAACAAACGCACAAAGCCGAGGCGGGAGCGGTGGCTGGGCGAGGTCCTGGTGTAGCTCTTGGGTGTACTCCGGCCTAGGGGAGACATTCTTCGGGGGCTCTCAAACGGTGCGGTGACCACAGTGTGTGGTGAGTCACTTGGGATTCGGGGTGACCGCGCGGATCTGGGACTCGGGTCGTTCTCCGAGGATGTAGTTATCTGGCGACTGGAGCCTCCAGTGCCCCCAAACCACCCGGTAACGGACCGCGCAGTGAATTTTCTGACCCCCAATTACTCAAGGCCGCCCAAATGGAGTCCTAGTGGTGTCGGAGGGTCGCGTCGCATCGACGATGCATCGGCGATGCGGGTGAGGTCCGACTTTCTCCACGCCGACGTCGCCGATGCATCGTCGACGTCGCCGACACGATGCATCGGCGAGGCGGTGCGATCCTCCGACGACCCTATTTGAGAAGCCTCCAATGCCGGCCTGGGAGAGACAAGACAGAGTTCATCCGCTTCGACTGACCAGGCCAGCTCATCCACACGTGATTCCAGGGCGGATTGTTGCGGGAACGTTCGTGAGGGAGCATTGGTGGAACAGATTGCACCCCGGTGACGAAAGATCCCGAGCAGCCACGTGGGCAGTCGGAAACACAGGAGGTCTACAGTAGTGCTGCCCAGAGGGGAGAGCATGCGAGAGAGCATACGGGGAGACTATGGGAGACTATACAGTCGGGGCGCTGAAGAAGGAGCCCTTTTCGTTGGGGAGGGGCTCGGTGTTCCTTGATTGTTTCATAGTTTGCCTCGGGTTTTCCTGAGGTTTCTCATGGGAAATCGAGGTTGAACTTACGGGAAAAAGGGGCCTCGTTCCTGATTTAGGGTTCCTTAGGTCAACGCCCCGACTGTACGTAAGATCATACAGGGGGGGGGAGTGGGAGAGCAGACGGCAGACCGAGCGGGAGACCCCACGGGCCAGGGGCCACCGACGTCCGATCCGGATGTGCTCGCACGCCTCAGGAGAAGTTCGCTGGGCCTTCACGGGCACGCTGTTTGGGGAGCGACCTGGCCAGTGCGGTGTCCCGTGCGAGCCTCTTGGAGACATCTTTGAGCCAACTTGGGGCTTGCTCTTCAGAGCCCCTCGGAAGTCTGTGTGAGACGGTCTCGAGGGTCCTTTGGGGGTCCAGGGTCGTCTTGGGGGTATGCTGGATGCCATCGGCCCGAAAAGGGGGCGTCATTACTTGGTACGAGGCTGTCTTGGGTGCTTGGGAGCCTTCGGGCCGTGCTGTGGCCATTGTGGTCCCTCTCAGGTCTTAGGGCCCGCTTGAGTCATCTCGGAGGGGCCGGGACGCCTCGAAAGCCCATTGGAAGCCGCAGAGGCGGGAAGGCCAAGCATGCTCCGGCTGCCTCAGGAGATTCCGGCACCGTGCCAGCGCAGCATTCTGGGCGGCAGGTGCTGGAGAGGGCTATGGGGCCTGCGGTAGAAGGCTCGAGTTCCTGGTTCGTGTTCCCACTCTTGGGCCCTTCTTGGTGCCATCTTGGGGCCCTTGCCGTCTCGGAGCCCTCCGAGGCCGTCTTGGAGCTCTCTTATGGGCCTCTGGAGCCGTTTTGGGACGTCGGAAGCTCGAAAGGGCGAGGGCCCGAACATCAATGGTTTTGGCCTCTCGGGGCCCTCTTGGGGGGCCTCTTTCTCGCGGCCTTCTTGGGGCCTTCTGGGGCGCCTCTCAGGCTGTCTTGGAGCCCGTCTTGGGGCCCTGTTGGGGCCCTCTTGGGGGGCCTTCTGAAGCCGTCTTGGCCCTCTGGGACGCCTTGAAGAGCGCCGGGGAGGAGCGAGACAGCCCAGGGAGCCTCGGGAAGAGGAGGGCGATGCGCACGACTCGATGCTACGAGAGGGGGTGGGGGCACCTTCGAAAATCACAGGGCGCTGCCAGGCAGCACTTGACATTCTAGTACGCCCCAACGTGCCAAGGGGGCACGGTTGCGGATTGAGCAACGCCAGTTTCTGTGCTGTTAGTTTCTTGGGTTGTTTTTGGAAGGCTCCATTGCGACCTCGAGCCTTCTTCGGGCTCCCTGGGAGCTTCTCGAAGCCAGCTGAAGTTACGTTGTGGAATGTTGTGCCTTCTTGGAGGCGCATCTCGGTCTTTGGGACCATCTGAGAGCAGGACCCCACAGCGTCATGAGGTTCTCTGTAGCACCCAGGAGCAGGAAGCCTGGCTACAACCTGCCTGTCTCCCGGTGAGCTGGTTCTGACTGCCTACGGCTTGCGCAAGGCAGATCAGATTTGATTTCGTGCGCGACATCTCGTTCATGCCCCCCACTTTTGACTCCGCAGCCCGCAGCGCCCTCGGTCCGTATGACTGATAGTTACGTGCGCCATCATTGAGGGCCACGATAATGAGCAACGGCATCAAGCATACTCACGTTAATTCGCACCACTCGTGGTATGGCTGTCCCCTCTTTTCGCGCATAGGTGCCGTCATTGGGTCGATTTGGATGTGGATCGATAGTTCGGCCACATTGTCTAGGTTCACGGATGATATCAAGGGAACCAGCTCGCAAGTTTGCGCAGGCGGGAGTTATTCTTTCCAAGCAGCCAGTTGTTGAAATACTGCTGGCATCGCGATGTTCGATGGAGCTTACCGTCAGACACGTTTGCCAAGCGTGTCGCGCCGACGGTGTTGAGAATGGGGGTGATGAAAACGAGGAGGAGGAGGAGGAGGAGGAGGAGGAGGAGGAGGAGGAGGACGGACAAGATAAGACGACCAACAAGAACAATACATGCGCAGCCCCTGCTCAGCCGATGCTTCCGCCATCCTTCCCGCCCTCCCAGGTCATTCAGAAACGGGCTAAGAGGCTTCCAAGAGGGCCCCAACACGGCCCATAACGCCGTGCTCCCGCAGAGCCTTCCGGCAACATGCTTGCCGCCGCCATTCGAAGGATGAGGACGACGACGACGAGGATGGGAGGGGGGCGGGTGCGGAGGCATAGGACGAAGATGATAATAACGAGGAGGAGGAGGAGGAGGAGGAGGAGGAACAATGCATGAGGAGGCGGAGAAAATATATCCAAATGGAGGCCCTACCAGTCCGCTGATCCATCCCTCGCTCCGCTTCCCGTTTCCTCCCTTTTTGCCCCTCCTGCCTCCTTTTTGTCCCTATATCCTTCCCCTTCTCCTTCTCTCCCCCCCTCCTTCTCCCGCGACCGCAATCACGACGCCGACGACGACGCCGACGCCGACGGCGCCGTCGACGCCGACGAGCCCATTCCCGCGTTCGTGGCCTCGGGGATTGCGTGCATGCCATGGGAGTGGAGGAGGATCAGAGTGATGAGGATGTTGATGGGGATTTCGAAGTTGAGTAGAACCTCGGCGCGCGCGAAGCGCGCGTGGTTCTAGTACATCTATATGTACGTACGCACGTTTCATGTCTAGCAGCGGTCGGTCCATTTCTCAAGGTATACGTACATGCACGTATCCAAGTTCATCTCTCCATCGCGGCACCTGTGCCGCTGGGTGCCTTCGTGGCGCCCCAGGAAAACAGGAGGGTTGGCAGCCCGATCGTCACCACAGTTTGACGGGGCTGTGGGAGAGACTCTTGCCCTGTGGTTGGCCAGCCACAGTAGGTGCGGGCCCGCCGTACCACCACTGAGAGGCCTGACGGGGTTACTCGTAGGGGTCCCCCGACGTGGGCGGCGCGGGAACTTAAGTCCTTGGGCGGCGGGGTCTCCGCTGCTCGAAGCCGGCGGCCAAGTGGGGGTGGTGCTGGTGGCCGCGTCTCGGGGTGGCATCCCGAGGCACTTCGCATTGGCGGCGCAGATGTAACGCCTGGGGCGGGTCTGTGCCGCCTTTCATGTTGCGAGGTCCGTCTGCATGTGGATTCATGCAGGCACCTTGGGCACCTCTCTCTCTCTCTCCCTCTGTTGTTTTGTTGCTGTGTGTGTGTCTCTCTCTCTCTCTCCCTATGTGTCTCTCTCTCTCTCTGTCTCTCTTTCTCCGTCTCTCTCTCTCTATCAATGTATGGTTATCTCTCTGTGATTCTCTCTCGTTCCCCTTCTGTCGCTATGTTGTTTGGATAGTTATCTCTTTCTCTCTCTCTCACTCTCGTTGTCTCTGTCTTCCCGTTTCTAAATGTTTGTTGTCTCTCTCTCTCTCTCTATCCCTCTCTATGTTTGCCTCCCGTTTGAATTGTATGTATATAGGCAATTTGGCAAAAACCTAGCCCGGAATGCCTGGGGCCGCAGCCCGCCAGGGGCATTCGTGGTCCCCCTGAGAGCACGTTCCCTTCCCAGAACCTCTCTGGAGCCCCGCCCCGGCTTCCCCCGGAAAGCTCCCAGAGTTCAGCAGGAGTTCCGAGAGGGCTGGCTCCGTGACGGTTCCAAGAGGACCCTGGGGTGCGTCGGGAGGTTCCCGGCGTTGCAAAGGGGCCCCAGGATGGCCCCAAGAGGCCGCCAGAATGTTCAATGAGGACCCGCCGCTACAAAGAATCCCAGCGCCAAAGGGGCCGCCAGAGTGCCGCTGAGGACGTCCGATGAACCGAATCAAACAAGAACCTAACAGACTCTTAGTATATAGTATGATTTACCGTATCTGTCTGACGAAGCGTAGTTCCAAGATTGCTCTAGAAAAGGTCTGCAAGAAAGTCTATGTGTTGCCCCAAGACGGCCCAGGACTGCTTCGCGAGAGCTCCACGTGAGGCGACGGTGGCTTCCGAAGTCGCCCAAGACGGCCCGAGAAGGCCCCGAGACGGTTCCAAGAGGCTCTCGGGCTTCCCCAGAAAGTTCCCAGCGCCACACAGGGGCCCAAGAGGGCCCCCAGAGGCCGTTGAGTGGCCATACAAGGCTTCCCAGAGCGCCGAATGAGTAAAACATCGAAGAGATCCGAATGTATTTGTCTTCTCTGGAAGTCCACTATGGTGACACAGTGTTGTTCTAACGTGGCCTCGGACTCGGAGCCCCAGGAGATCCCCAATATTGCCCAACAGTGACCCAGGGTTGCTTCGAATACCAAGCCGCAGTGCGACTTCAGACGCCAGCCCGTGAGCTTCCAAGCCAGGGGCCCGATCATCCAGACACGGCCCCTATGGCGCGCTATACGCGCGGCCCCATGGCATGCAGAACTTGAGCGCGCGTGAAGCGTGCGCGATGTTTCTGGTATGTCTGTTCATCTACGATTGACGACTCGCGTATCCGCACCAGCCCCGCCAGAACCGTTGTCCATGCGAGTTGCATTGACCAGGACACCGTAGAAGCATGCAGTTGAACTATTTCATGGATCAGCCTGATCGGATCCAGGACGAGGACCGTAACGAGAAGACGGAGGAGGATGAGGACGAGGAGGAGGAGGAAAAGGAGGAGGAGGAGGAGGACGAGAAGGAGAACGAGTACGGCGACGACGAGGAAAGGGACGGCGATGAGGAAGAGGACAACGACACGGAGTAGGAGGGAAACGAAGACTCTTGAAGCCCTCGTAGGGTCTTTTTGGGGTTTTCCCGCGGTCTTCTTGGGGTCCTCTTGTGGCTGTTTTCGAGGGTTATGGGGTCCTTTTGAGGCTCTTTTGTGAGGTCATGGGGCTCTTGGCGCCCTCTTTGGGGGCTCTTGGGGGCCCGGGAGGTATCTCGGGGCAGGGTGGGGGGCAGGTCACCCTTCCTCCAAGGGGAAAGGGGTTTTGGAGGAGGAAAGATATCGTATGACCACCTAGCTCAGTTTTTTTTTTTTGTTCTCTCTCTCTCTCTCAATTTCGTTGTTTGTTTTTTGTTGTTCTCCCTCTCTCTCTCTCTGTATTCTTCTCCTGTTTCTCAACCATGGGGGCGTTCGTTGAGGATGCGCCCAGGAAGCTTAAGACCCTGGGGCGGGTCCTTATCATAGTCATGGCCAAGCCCCAATTGGTGCTCCACTGGCTTACCTCGGATGTCTTATCTCAGAGTTCCAGAGCCACTGCCCTCACCGTGTCTCTACCTCCTGCTCTCTTTCGTTGTGCTGTTGCCCAACATGTGCTTGCACCGGTGGCCTCTTGCTTCGCCCCTAAGGCTGCTGAGCCATGGTGTCTGTCCGGCTGGCTCGTGGCCGCTCGTCGCCGCCGTCCGTCGCCGCCGTAGTTGGGCTCCGGTGTCGGTCCGGCCGGCTCGCGGCCGCACGTCGCCGCCCGTCACTGCTGGCCAGCTCGTCGCCGCCCGTCGCCGAGGTGTTTGCACCGCTCTGCGTCGCGTTGGTCTGCATCGCGTGGCACGGTTTGGCGCTGCTGTGTGTGTTGCTTTTCATGGTTTCGCATGGTTTTAGATTGCTTTGCATCGCTTTGCGTTGCTTGGCGTTGCTTCGCGCTGCTGTGCAGCACGCAGCACATGAATTGCACCACATGGGTGGAACCACCTAGATTGCAGCACATTGATTGCACTATCTAGGTTGCACGATTACAAATGTTCGGGGTCACCGTGGCTAACACAGTTGGATGTGGGTGTGTGCATGTGTATATATATATATATATATATAGATATGCATATGTATAAAATCTCTGTCTCTCTTTCTTTTCCCATCCCCGCAAAGGCGTTCAGCGGCGGGACCGTCACGACTTTGGGCAAGCACGAGGGCGGCAAGCAGGCGGCGCCCGCCAGGGGCGCCGCGCGCGGGGGGGCCGCCACTCGCGCCCGTCCTCCGCGCCCCCGCCCGGGTCCAGCGCCTCCCCCTCCTCCGACCTCAGCCTCCTCCTCCCCCTTCCTCCTCCCCCGTCCCCTTCATCCTCTCTCCCTCCATAATTATCCCCCTCCTCCCCCTCCTCCTCTTCCTCCTCCTCCCACCTCCCCCCTTCCCTCCCACCTATTCCTCCTCGTCCTCCCCCTCCTGCAAGGATGGAGGGCGGTCCTTTTAAGAATGTGTCTCTCGCATTAACGCCGCGCGCATGCGTTTTACAAGTTGGGAGCAGCTTCAAGGATGGATGGCGGGTGGCTTTCAAAATGTGGCTTTCAAAAGTGTGCAACAGTTATCAGGATGGAGGGCGGCTCTTTTTCAAACTGCACCCTCGTGTTACATGTCCGCAGAAGTTTTTAAGGAATCGTCTGGCTGCAGTGCCAGGATCTGTGCTCTGGCACGGTTTAGGGTTGTCAGAACGCAACAGTCCGTTGATTCGCGGTGTTGAAGTCCCAGGGTGGGTGCACGATTTTCGGACAGATAGGCGCAACAGTCACGTTGATTCGTGGTTTTGAAATTCCTGGATGGTGTTCTGGCACGATTGAAGATTGTCGATTGGTTGTCTTCCAATGGGGCAGTTCCCGCAATGAACATTACGTAGGCGAAGAACCAAACCCATTCTACACGTGTGGAAAAGATCAACAGGACCGCTTGATGCACAAGAATTTGTTGGGGGGGTTCGCAGCAGCCTTGAAACATTTGCAAGAGAATGTTGGACTCCTTGGACCAGGCTCGGTACACTCACGCGACTCAAATCACACAAGGGAAGGTGATGATGTATGCGGCACGGAGCGCGAGGGCGGGGACAGAGGAAGCACGATGAGGGATATTTTGCAGGAGCGATGCATAGCTCAAGCGCAGCGCGCGGGGGTCCAGGCAGGGGGCGGCTCGACTGCGCCGCGAGCTCACGATTCCCTGGCCGGCTCAGGCTCCGCAGCGCGGAGGAACTCCTCTAAGCTTTTCGCGACTCTTAGCTCCTTGCTACGTGAAGTAACCATGCGAATTTTGCCAATGGGGCCTCGGGTGACGCTCCCTATGGGGCCTCGAAACGTATGAGGGGTGTGCAGGAGAATGTGCCCGAGTAGCCATGCGGACCCTGTCACTGAGGCCTTCGGCGGAGCTCTCCATGGGGCTACGAAACGTGTGAGGGGCGTACCAGAATGGACCTGAGTGACCATGCGGACCCTGCCACTGGGGTCTTCGGTGAAGCTCCCTATGGGGCCTCGAAACGCGTGAGGGCTTGTGCACGAGAATGGACCCGAGTAGCCATGCGAACCCTGCCACAGAGGCCTTCGGCGGAGCTCCGTATGGGGCTACGAACTGTGTGAGGGGCGTGCCAGAATGGACCCAGGTAACCAGGCGGACCCTGCCACTCGGGCCTTTGGTGGAGCTCCTTGAGGGGCCACGAAGCGTGTGAGGGGAAGGACTCGAGTGACCATGCGGACCCTGCCACGGGGGCTGGCCACGAAACGCGTGAGAGGTGGCGCGAAACGGTGATGTGAATGGTTGTGATGGCGATGATGTTGACGACGATGAGGATGATGCTGATAACAAGGATGAGGAGGCCCCCTCGCGTGTTTCTGCTGCGCGGTGGTGGGGGGGGGACTTGCGGAAAGGGAGCGGGAGGGAGGAGCACAGAGGTGCAAAATGTACGGATACCGCTATCCTTGTCTCGTGTTCGCCTTTCTGGGCCTCCTGGAAGGCCTTCGTCGCTGCCGCAGGATTCGCCTGGAGGTTCTGGTCAGAACGCGCTCCAGGAAAGGCTCGTGGAATGCATCAACCGATGCTGCAATCCACTCTCCTGATCCCATGTCCCCTCGGCATGAATCCATACAAGTCTTCCTTTCCACTGCGGGCGCCCCCTCTTGAATGACGAGCAGCCAATCGGTCCGCCAGTCAGACGGGGGCGCTTGTTGTAAAGGATCCTCCCCCCACTTGGAGCACGCCGAGGATAGCCCCACTTGGAGCAGCACTAAGCGTTGCAGAATATCAAAATCGTGGACATATGCTCCGTGGAAGTCCCACGCGAGAGCCCGTCATGGAGGCCCAGGGATAATCTCATTTTGAGAAGAGCATGCCCTCCATCTGCCTAAGCGTTGCAGAATGTCAAAGTCGTGGACGTACGCTCCGCAGAAGTCGCACACGAGCCGGTTTCTATATGTGCTAGTTGTTGCACAATACGGAACGACAGGTCGTACAGGCCCAGAAAGGGTCACGCGAGTGTAGATGGTGGACTTTGTATTTGAATGTGCGAGAGGCTAAGGGCAGACCCAAATACGGTGGTGGTGTTGGTTCAGGAACGTGCTCAGGAGGCTGCAGAGCCTGGAGGATTGATTATCTGATGAGGGCGGCGGCGATATCCATGGCCGATCCACGATTGGAGTTCCACTCGCTTCCAGATCCTGGATTCCTTATCGAAGGGTTCCTGGTCCAATGTCCCCGCCGTCTTGGAAAGGACTCGCCATCCACTCGCGTACCTGAGGACAATTGGGAAGCCGAGTATTCGGGGCGCCAGGGCGGGAGTTCCTTTATGGAAACGGCCCGCACGTTATCTCTTCTTTGGCTGCGTAAGGGGCTGCTCCTTGAGGCCGCCTGCGGCGACGAGGACGATGAAGATGAGGATGTGTCTGCTGTTACTGCCAGTGGCGACGGCGGGGCTGGGCGCGCTTGGGAAGGGATTGTAGTGTCTGGGAGCGCTTGGGGCAGGCTGGGTAGTGCTTGAGTCAAAACTCGGAGTCGGCGAGGGGTGCCGGAAACGCATCGGTTTATTATGTACCGGATACCGGCGGATTGTTTTGTTTTTGTTGTTTGTTGGCCCAGGGTGCTCGTCGGAGGCCAAGGGGTGGGCCGATGTTGGAGCTCAGCAGATGCGAGCCGGATCTGTTTTATCATTAATGACGGTGGAAATGGTCGGGATGGACGGACGCGTGCCGAATTGCATCTGTTTCGTAATATGGTGAAGCTTGGGTCGGACGCACGTGCGCCGAAATGCATTCCACATAGGAGGATGAAAGGTTGGGTCGTATGGATGTACACGAATAGCACTTCTTGCACGGGATAGTCGGGTCGGGTCGATGTGGGCCCTATCTCTGTTACGTAGAACGAACGGTAAGGGCTGGGTCGGATGGGTGCGCGCCAGACCATATTGTTTTTGTATCGGATGGTGGGGTGGGTGGGTCGTATGGATGTCTGCGGACCTGCTTTTGTTGCGTAGGACGGTGGGGGCTGGGTCGTGTGGGTGCGCGCGGCATTATGGCGAGAGCCGTACTTTGAAAGCGACCCCGCTTCCATGTTTGAAAGACGCCTCAAGTGTTTAAGACGAGTGCGCGCGGCGCTCAGGCTGGAACCACATTGCGAAAACCACCCGGGCTCCATCCTTGAACCGGTTGCAAGTTGTTCAGACGAATGTGCGCAGCGCTCAGGCGAGAGCCACATTTGAAAAATTACCCGGGCTTCATCTTCGAAATTGTTGCAAGTTTTTAAGACGAGTGTGCGCGGCGCTAAGGCGACAACCACATTTTGAAATCCACCCAGTCTCCATGTTTGGCATTGCCTCCAATGTCAGTGTTCTGTGTAAACATTGGCGAGGAAGTCTTTGGCGAAACGCCCGGCCCGGCTTATACACATGTCCGGTGGTGTGACAGATAGGGTTCAATCATCAGGACAAGGAAAGGAGGAGGCGGAAGACGAGGAGGAGGTGGAACAGGAGGAGGAGAGTAGGAGGAGGTGGAGGAGGAGGAGCAGAAGGAGGAGGAGGAGGAGGAGGAGGAGGAGGAGGAGGAGGTGCGGAAGATGTGAAGAGGAGGAGGACGAGGAGAAGGAGGAGGAGGAGGAGGAGGAGGAGAAGGAGGAGGAGGAGGAGGAGTTCGAGGCGGAGGAGGAGGAGGAAGAGGTGAAGAGGTGGAGGACGAGGAGGAGGAGGAGGATATATTCATAAGGCAAAGGGAAGGCTGAGAAATGAGAAGAAATGAAGTCGGAGCAGGAGGAGGAGAGGAGCAGGAGGAGGAAGAGGAGGAGGCGGAGGAGGAGGAGGCGGAGGCGGAGGCGGAGGAGGGGGAGGAGGCGGAGGAGGAGGAGGAGGCGGAGGAGGAGGAGGAGGAGGTGGACGAGAAACAGGAGGAGGAGAAGGAGGAGGAAGGTGTGGATGAGGAGGCGGACGACGACGAGGAAGAAGAGGAGGAGGAGGACAAAAAGGAGGACGAATAGGAGGAAGGGGAGGGGGAAGTTCGACCAAGTTGGGGCGTCGGGTATAGTGGCCGCCGCTGCTCGAATTGTTATTCCAGGGCCACGCGGCGCAGGGCCGACGTGGGTTTCTCCCGGAGACTGAACGAATGTTCCATGCACTGATGTATGTGTCTTGAATAGTCCCTTTCCCGAACAGAATATTTAGTACATGCTCGCGTTGAAGGGTGTACTCGTTGTTATGCAGCAAGCCGCTTGGGCTGTTACACATTTATACTTATGTATGTACATACATGTCTCTCTCTCTCTCTCTCTTTCTCTTTCTCTTTATCTTCAACGTAATAGTCGTTTTTCGGTCGAAGAGTCAGACTTCAGCTAGACGCCGTCGTGGGACCCAGGGACCTCGTCGCCGCACGGCCACACTGGCAGTGAGCTCAACCGAGGAGGGGGGAAAGACGTAATCGGTGAGCGAGCGGCGCGGAGATAATCGAATGCTTCACGCGCGTTCGCAGCCAGGAGTGAATGAGCGGTCTGCGCGGCGTGCTCCACGCGAGGGTGCGAATCGAAACATGCTTTCCGAAATGAGGTCAAAATTGCTTACAGGGGTGGTGGTGCCTCCGATTTCATTGGCTACTGGCCCTTATTCGTCGAATCCTGAGGAAACGCATACATGAATCATGGCGCGTGGATTCGCGACGGACGCCCGTTCTCATACGACATCGGTGCGGTCCGTAGCCAATTCAGGCGGCACTGGCGCCATGCTTCGCCCCGATGCATGAACCTGGCGTCCATGCGCCAGATCCACGGATCCCTAATCCATGTTAGCGTGCGCCCTTTTCACATACACCGCTTGGGAAGCCGATCCTTGGAGGGGCCCAAGCATAGTATCCACATGTCCACCGTCTTCCTGGGGTCCCAGGAGGCTTCGACTTCCAGGGCCTTGCATGCGTGCATGCGTCCCCGCCTCGCAGAAAAGGGAAGTGGGGGAGGGGGGGGGACGGAGGAAGGAGATGCGGAGGGAGGGGAGGAGGACGGGGGCAGGGAGATGTGGAGGGTGGGGGGGAGGAGATGGGGAGGGAGGGGAGGGAGATGCGGGTGAGGGGAGGGAGAGATATGCGAAGGGAGGGGAGGGGGGGGGCGGGGGCGATAGGCGAAAATACGTGGGGATGACGAGTCTTGTGCGCATCTCCCGATGCTGGGCAACCTGCTGCGGCCTGGAGATCTTCATTCAACCATTCGTCTAGGCCCCCCTCCGTGCTCCGATTCCCAAAGTCTAGGAGCGGTCAAAGCCGATGCGATGCTCTTGCAGATGTACCGGTAGCCCCCTCAAGAGAGCAAGGCCCAGACCGTTTCGCTATCAGATATGCCGCTCAAAGTTTGACTCGTACCGACTTGCAATCTGTCGAGACACTCCTCGGCAGGGAAACCCGACGAAGGGGCCCGTCGCTAGGCTGCCCACTCGGAGACCCAACGTCCCCTCCTCGATCTCCCCTCGCCCTCCTCCACGCCCTGCTCCACGCCCCCCCCCTGCCGCACGCACTCATCCTCCCTCCCCCTGCAATCCCCATCCCCCGCCTGGTACCTCTCTTTCGGAGGGCGGGAGGAGGCAGAGGAAATGATAATTGCGACGGAGTAGGGTTTAGGAGGAAGAGGTGGCGGAGAAGGGGACAGAAGGGGGAGGAGGAGGAGGAGGAGGAGGAGGAGGAGGAGGAGGAGGAGGAGGAGGAGGAGGAGGTCAGATCGGGCGATCCCCGATACTACCCAAACGTCATTTCTTTTGTCAGAGCGCCTGGACGTCGGGGGATGGTAATGCCGACGAGGACGGGTAGGAGGAGGACGAGGTGGTGAAGAGGTCGAGGAGGTCGAGGAGGAGGTGGAGGTCATCAGGCGGAGGAGGAGGAGCGTGAGGCCGAGGTGAAGGAGGAGAAGAGCAGGAGGAGGAGCAGGAGAAGGAGGAGGCAGCCGAGGAGGGAGCGTGGATCTGGACCGCCGCCGGCCGTTGGCCCGCAGGTGGCGAAGTTCAAGGCCGGCGAGAGCTTCGGGGAGCACTCGATGCTCTACAAGGAGAGCCCATGCCGCGCCAGGGGCGGGGGCGTCGCCCGCCCTCCTCGGCCTACTCGACCAGAGGCCTCCGACGCATGGAAGGAACCGAGGCGGACGCGCTCGCAGTTTCCGGCCTCATTCGGAGCAGCACGGCCGTGAACTTTGGATGGCGCGTCGTCGCTCGGCTCCACGCTTCGGCGCGACACGCTATCCACGTCGCTGTCCCCAGGCGTCAAAGTCCCGAGCTTTCCTAGCCTCCCGCCTTGCGGAGCGGAGCGACAAGCTATCCAATCGCATGCCGCCGTGGCGACACGCTATCCAAAAGTTCCCGACCGCAGTGATACGTACAGTCCCGGATTTCCCAGATGTCGAGGATTTGCTAGATTTTGTTTGGTGATCTGCGCGGGCTGCAGAAACGAGGGCCGCTAGAGCTTCCGGAAGTCTTGGGACGTGTGTTGAGCCAACCTTGCCATGACATTCTTCTCGTCCTACGTTGGGGGCCTTCGCCTGGCCCTGGGACCCTCGAACAACGTCTCGGGTTTGAAAACCCGCCCCGGGGGAAGGGTCTGGATTCCGGGGGAAAACGTCAAGGGACGTGCCCCTCCTCCTGATCTTCCTCCTCCTCCTCATCTTCCTCCTCCTCCTCCTCGGTTTCCTCAGCCTCTCTCCTCCTCCTCCTCCTCCTCCTCCTCCTCCTCCTTCTCCTCAACGCCCCCGCACCCTCCTGGATCCATGGTCTCCTCGACGTCCCCCCCTCCTCCTCCTCTTCCTTCCTCCTCGGCCTCCGCCTCGACCTCCTCTGCGTCCTCCTCCTCCTCCTCCTCCTCCTCGTCCTGATCCTCCCTTCTCCTCCTCCTCTTCCTCCTCCCCTCCTCCTCCTCATCATTCTCCTCGCTCCCCCCCCCTCCCTTTTTTCCGCCCTTGATCGGGGAGGACGTTTGGGGGGAGGGAAACGAGGGGGAGGGGGATAATTTAGAACTCTGCTGCGCGCAGCTGGTTGCGGCCCCGCCGCTGGGGACCTTCCTGGGCACATGGTGGCCTCTGACGGCGGGACGCGCCAGGGCAACCAGCTACGTGCGTTGTACGTGTTTAGTGCCCCCCCCCTCCCCCCCGCCCTTCTCCTCGCACTCCTCCAACCTATTCGGCCTCCCCTCGGTCTTCGCTTCCTCGTCTTCATCCTCCTCCATGATTGCATTCTTCTCCCGCGTCGGCTTCCTCCTGCTCCCGCTGCTCGTCCTCGTCATACTGTCTCTTGTTCAATTGTCTTTGCATTGCTTCTGAGGTTCGCGCAGGAGTTCTGAGGTATCCGAGGTCTTTCTTTCGGAGTCTCTATGCGTTGCTGGAGGAGGTGGATCATCGATGAGGAACGAGGAGGACGAGGCCGAGGAGGGTAAAGATGCAGGGCAGGAATAATGATGAGGATGAGGTAGACCACACTCCCCCCTCTCGATCTCGCCGACCTACCCTGCCTCCTCCTCTTCCATGCTTTGTCTTTGTAGATCACTCCTCCCTGTCGCACCACGAGACGCGGCGGTATGCCAGGCCGAGCGTCTCGCCTTAGACTTCCTAAGGTTGATACTTTCAACAGTTTCAAGGATGGAGGGGGGATCGCTTTCAGAGTGTGGCTCTCGGCTAAGCTCCGCGGGCATTTGTCGGAAAAGCTTGCAACACTTACCGAATGATTGACACATGTGGTTTTCAAAATGAGGCTCTCGCTTCAGCACCGCGCACATTCCTTTTGAAAGTTCGCATCAGCGTCGAGGATGGAGCACAGGTCGTTTTCAACATGTGGCTCTCGCGGTAGCGCCGTGCCTTGTCGTTTTTTTCAATTTTGCAGCAGTTCAAAGGATGGCTCCTTTTCAAAATGTGGCTCTCGCACCAGCGCCGCGAACAAAAAGCTTGCAACAGTTTATAGGGATCGTAGGGTTGAATTCCCAGGAGTGGTGTCCTGGCACGGTTTCGCGTTGATTCGCGGTGTTGAAGTCCCAGGAATTAAGTTTTGGCATGTTTTAGGATTCTCATACGGTGGTTTTCAGTGGCGCATCTCCCGCAATGGAAAATCCTGTAGGGGTGTGTGGCGAGGGAGCTTGGATGGAGGGTTCATTGCAACATCGTTGAATGCCTCTTGTGTCTACGCCGATCCTCCTCCTCCTCCTCCTGCTTCTCTCCCTCCCTGGAGTACCAGGAGATGAAGCAAACCCAGGCCTCCGACGCCTCGTTCGCGATACAGAAAATGATAGGTTTGCCTGCGTGGACATTCACGCGTAAGATGCCCGCGCAAGGTCGCGCGTAAGCGCCCTCGGTGCCGCTTTTTACGGCCCGCGTAAGCCACCGCGTACGGTCGCTATGTCATCACGCGTGAGACCCTTTCTTTTCGTCGTTCACGTTCTTTTTGGCTCTGCGGCCCCCACAGAACACTCGACCTCCACTCTCGCGACGGGCCCCCTGCTCCGGCGAAACGTCCGTCAGACGCCCATGTGGGGCCCGAGGCGGGCCTTATTGAAGGCAAACGTTTTTTGCACGCTGAAGTCAAACATTTCTGCCGCCAGGCAAGGCATCCTCTTTCATCTAAGGCAAGCACGCGTTTGAGAAGGCCAAACAATGTGCTTCCAGTGAGTTCATGTTTGCCTTCAGCGGGCTCAGTGCCGCGAGGCCCATCACACGTTCCCCTCCCGCGGTGTCCAGCGCCTGCCGCTCCCCGCCGCGCGCTCACGTCAGCCGCAGGAGCCGCATCAGAACACCGTGATCACCATGACGAAGTGCGGATCCCTCCCTGCCCTGTCCTCTGGAGTCGGCAGGGCGCGGCAGACCTCAGAGGTGGGCGAGTTGATTCAACGTACGCCTCCAGGAGGCTCCGACAGAGCCCCAAGAGACCTCTGAGACGCCTCCTCCTCCTCCTCCTCCTCCTCCTCCTCCTCTTCGTGCTCTGTTTACTTCCTCTGCTCCTCCTCGACCTCTTCCTCCCCCACACGGCTCCAGAGGCCTCTTGGGGCCACCTGAGGCCCAAACGGCAGTCGGCCTTCCAGGCGCCTCCTCGTCGCCACGGCTGGGCTCAGCTCGGAAAGCTCGCGCGTTGGGGCCCCGAGCGGGGTCTGGGGCCCGACTCTGAGCTGCCACTGTCTCGGCTCGCTCTGCTCCGACGGCCCCCAGGGCTCGCCGTCTGGCTGGCGTGCTCAGGGGACGCGGGCCCACGAGGTTTTCCTCGGCTTTCAGGCTGTGGGGGCATCCCACGGGGCCCATGCGCCACCCACCAAACCACCCCAACCCAACCCAAAGGCCCCGATTTGCCGTCCACTCCGAGTTGGGGGGGGGGTCGGGGAACATTGAGAAGCACATATGAAGCCCGTACCCCCCCCCCCCATCCCGAAATTCGGATCTTCGGGTTGGGCTGGGGTGGTCTAGTAGGTGGTCAGCCCAGGGCCGTCAGGAAAGCGCTCTCGAGGAGAGCCCCAGGGCCCAGGACTCGTCTACTTCAGGCTGGATACGGGGTGGGGGAGGTCGGACTCGGCTGGAGGGCCTGGTGCCTGGGGGGGTGGAATGATGATGACGAGGAGGAGGAGGAGGAGGAGGAGGAGGAGGAGGAGGCGCAGGCGCAGGCGCAGGAGCAGGAGCAGGATGAGCAGGAGGAGGCGAGAACCCAACAGGAACTCATCACGCTGGGTTGCCGTTCCCGTAAAGACTGCCAAGTAGGACTGCGCGCGGCCCTCTTGCCGCTCCTTCCATGCTCGAAATCGCAAACACGGGTCATTCTTGCTGCTCCACGCGGCCAAGGCCATCACTGATCCGAGCTTCGCTGACACGCTGGGGGCCCGCCGTACATACATACGTACATACATACATACAGACAGACAGACAGACAGACAGACAGACAGACAGACAGACAGGCAGGCAGACAGACAGACAGACAGACAGACAGACAGGCAGACAGACATATATATGTATATATATATATATATTTATATTCACACACATATATATAAGAGATAGCTGTACTACGACAATGGAGAAAGCTGATCCGGCTAGACCTTCGGCCCGCTGGGGGCCGCTGGGTCCCGAGTGCGCCTGGAGCCTGATGGCTTCCAGAGCCCCATGCTTGGCCAAGAGGGCTACAACACGCCCACGATGGCCCCAAGGCAGTCCCAGAGGCCTCCTTTTCTCCCCAAGACACCCCAAGATGCCTTCCAAGGGAGCCCCAAGAGGCCACAATCGCCAAACACGCCTCCGAACACGTACATTTTCAGCATCAACAACTTCTCGCCCTCCCGACGCTCCAAGACGGCCCAAGACGCCCCCCGGATCGTCCCAAGACGGCCCAAGAGGCACTCAAGATGACAACACACGACGGCCCAAGAGGCCCCCACGACGGCCCAGGAGGCGCCCGGCCCCAAAACGGCCCCCGAGAGGCACCAAGGACCCCCGAAGAGGTTCCCAATTGGCCCCAGCTCCCCAAGAGGCACAACAAAGATTTCAAGAGACGCCAAAACAGCCCCCAAGAGGGGTCAACACTGCTTCCGAAAAGCACCTTGCAAGCCTCTTGGGCCCCCTGGATTAGTACGGCGACGGTCATAATATATATATATATAATATATATATATATATATGTATATATATATGCTTATTTATTCAATTAATTATATATGTACATATTCCCTGCAGACAGGCGGGAGCCACGGCGGGCCCCCCCTTCGGGAAGTCGGCCCCCAAACGTGGCATTTTGTGGCATCCCGTGGGGCCGCCCGGAGGGGGGAGGGGAAGAGGGAGAGGGCAGGACGCTCCCCGTCCGAACGCCCTTGACCTTCCCACTGCCACCGTGGCCCGCGCGCTTTTTTGGCCCCTCCTCCGGCGCTCGTCTTCCCAGGGAGGAGGAGGAGGAGGAGGAGGAGGAGGAGGAGGAGGAGGAGGAGGACACGCTGGCACGTTGGGGCTCTGGCACGTTGGGGCGTGCTCCATTCTAACCTGGCAGCCGAGGCGGCCCTTCTCTCGTCCACACTCGCCCGTGCGAAGCTCGAGCTGTCCGGCACTTTTAACGGGCGCCGAGCCGATGGAGCTGGTGCCGCAGGCGAGGACGTCGCTCCGCAGCGGGCGGCGGCAGACGTGAGGACACGTGGCGCGCAGCTGCGTGCCCAGGAAGAGGGAGGTGGCAGGAGTGCTCCGGGCATCCGTGAGCGCGCGCCGTTGATTCGTGCCGTCGGCACTTCTTCAGCCAGCCTGTTCGGATTGCTTGGTTCGCTGTGGGTGCGCGTGTGTTGGCAGGAAGAATAAACACAGAAGGAGGAGGAGGAGGAGGAGGAGGAGGAGGAGGAGGAGGAGACGGAGGCCTCTTGGTGGTCTCTTGGCGCTCTCTTGGGGCTTCCTAGGCCCACCCTGGAGGCCTTTTGGGTGCCTTTTGGGCCTGGGGGCGTCTTGCGGGCCATTTGTGGACATCTCGGGGCCCTCTTGGGCCGTCTTGGGGCACTCTTGGCCCGCCTGGCGCATCCGGAGACCGTCATGGGGACTTCTCTGGGCCATTTTGGGGTCCTCTTGAGGCATTGGCTGCATTGGATGGCGCCTTGCGGCCATCATTTAGCCCTCTTGGGCCATCTTGGGGCTCTCTGCCCGTCTTGGTTATTGGTTCCCTCTTGGGAGCCTCTTGGAGCCATCTCTTTGGAGGCCACTTGGGCCGTCATGTATGTTCGGAGATCTGAAAAAAGGCGAGAACGCAAAAATCTTTCGAACTCCTGCGAGCAATGAGAGATTTTACTATTGGAGCCTCCCGGAGGACCTCTTGGGGCCGTTTCGGGCCGCACTGTGGACCTCTCGAGCCGTCTGGAGGCAAGTTTGAGGCGTCTTGGAGCCATCTTGTGCAGTTGCAGTCTACGTAGCGCAGCTTTGAGGCCATCCTGGGCAGTCCTAAGAGCAGATGTGGCCGTCTTGGGGCCATCCCGGGGCCATCTTGGGTCGTTTGCAGACCATCCTGAGGCCCTTATCCGTCCCCCTGCTTCTCCTTCTTCTCTTCCCTCTATCATCCTCGGCCTCTTCCTCCTCCTCCTTCCCTTTCCTCCTGTCTCTTCGTCAAATTCCTTCCCGCTCAGGTCGGCTTGACGCCCTCTTGCGCCATCATGATCTGGCTTCCTCTTCCTACTACTCCTGCTCTTCCTCCTCTTCTGATGTCTCTCCCTGCCACGTTGTTGGAGGTTTGCTGGCAGAGGTCTCTAGCAAACACTCATCCGTCAAACCCTGAGGTGCTGCAGCACGCGCCGTAGGTCTCGTGAGTGAGAGGAGTCGAGTCTCCTCCTCCTCCTCCTTCTCATCCTGGTCCTCGTCCTCGTCCCCCTCATCTTCCTCCTCCTCTTCTTATTGAATCGCTTCGCTCATTCCGTCGGCCCGTGGGGGCCTCTTGGGGGCCTTAGGGCCTCCGAGAGGCCTCTTGGGGGCCTCTTAGAGCCTCTTGGGGGCCTCTTGGAGGCGTGTTGGGGGCCTCCTGAGGGCTCTTGAGGGCCTCTTGGGGCCTCTTACTTGGGGCTTCCTGGGAGCCTCTCAGGACGGAGGGCTCGAAATGTTGTTTCGTGCTCCCCCTCTGGGGCCGCTCTTGGGGCTCTCTAGGGGCCCTCTTGGCCGTCTTGGAGGCCTCTTCGGGGTCTTGGGGACCTCTTGGGCCGTCTTGGGGCCCTCTTGGGCCCTCTTGGGGCGATCTTGGGGGCCTCTTGGGCCGTCTTGGGGCGTCGCGATGCCGAAAAGGTGGAAACGCCAAAATCTGCCCAAAACCTTAGGAAAAACAATGATTTGTGCATCTGGGGGCCCTCTTGGGAGTGCTCTTGAAAGCCTCGTGGGGCGTCTGGGGCCTATCTTGAGCGTCTTGGAGCGATCTTCTGGCATCTCGGACCCTTGGTGTACCATCTTGGGGGCCTCTTGGGCGCTCTTGGCTCTTCTTGGTACTCTCTCTTCGCCCTTCTCCTGGAGCGCTCTGGGGGCTTCTCCCGGGACCTTGCCGGGGTACTTTTCGTCAGGGGACCCCCAGGGGCCGCCCCGCGCGCGCGAACTAGAAATACTGTGAACCAGTTACCGGAGATCTTAGCACGCCTCTGTCCCGTTGGGCCAGCGAATTCTTTCTCCTCCTCCGCCTCCTCCTCTCCCTCCCCTCATCAGCATACCATCATCATCGTCATCGTCATCATCATCATCATCATCATCATCATCATCATCATCATCATCATCATCATCATCATCATCATCATCATCATCATCATCATCATCATTAGCATCATCATCATCATCATCATCATCATCATCAGCATCATCATCAGCATCACCAGCAGCAACGCCAACAGCATCCTCATCAGTACCGTCATCATCACCAGCATTATCATCATCATCACCAGCATTATCATTATCCGTATCCTTATCATTGCCATAGCCATCACCATTACCAGCATCATCATCACCATCATCATCAGCATCATCATCATTATCACCTTCAACCTCGTTATCGTCATCATCGTCATCATCGCCATGATTTCCATCATCGCCATCATCATTATCACCAATAGCATCATCAGCATACTCATCATCATCGACAGCAACATCATCATCATCGTCATCGTCATCATCACCAGCAGTATCACCATCAACAGGATCGCCATTGTCACCAACATCAGCATCACGATCATGATCTACATCATCATCATCGTCATCCACAATGTTTAAATGTTGGACGGGCTGTGGTGTGGGATTCCTCTTCTTCCTCCTCCTCCTCCTCCTCCTCCTCCTCCTCCTCCTCCTCCTTCGCCTCCTCCTCCTCCTCCTCGTCCTCCTCCCTCTCTTCCTCCTCCTCCTCCTCCTCCTCCTCCTCCTCCTCCTCCTCCTCCTCCTCCTCCTCCTCCTCCCCCTCTTCCTCCTGCTCCTCCTCATTCTCCTCCTCCTGCTCCTCCCCCCCCCCTCCTGCTCCTCCTCCTCCTCCTTTTCCTGCTCCTCCTTCCTCCTCCTGCTCCTTCCTCCTCCTCCTCCTTCCCCTCCTCCTGCTCCTCCTCCTCCTCCTCCTCCTCCTCCTGCTCCTGCTCCTCCTCCTCCTCCTCCGCCTCCGCCTCCTGCCTGCTCGCGCGGGCGCCGCGCGCCCTCCTCCCCCCCTGCTCCCCACCTCCCCACCCCCCAGCGCCAGCTCCCGACCCGCAGGTGCGAGCTCTTGGTCATCGGCCGAGAGTCCATGATCAAGGCGCCCAAGATCTCTGCCGCCTTCGGGGAATGGCCCTCTCAGTTTGTTCCCCGCGCTTTGCCCGATCGGCTCACACGTGCGCGACGTGTGTGAAACTGTTTGAGCGCCTTGGGGGGGCGGCGACAAGGGGGCGGAGGCCCGCAGAGGGGCATTTGCGGGAGGCGCCCTGGCGCTTTGCCTGCCATATTCCGAACAAGGGGTCCGCAAGCTCCAAGGTCGGAGGAGGGCAATTATGTGCGGATCCTCCTGGCTCCTCCCCTCATCCTCCGTCGAGATTGTCTCCTTCTTCCTTGGCGCGCAACAGGTGTTACCCAGGCCAAACCCCCCCGCTCCCCCCCCCGGGGTAATGGAAACTATTGTACGTAAGGGGAGTATGCTTGGACCCGCCCCCCCCATGCTGGATCTCGCGCGCATTCTATGGCGATCGCAGCGCACCCCCGCCTCGACGCGCCCCTCCCCGCCAAAGCGGCAACGACCGTTGTTCAGAAGCAAACGAAAACACGCGCCAGGGAGGGATATGCTCAATGGGGGGCTGCACCGACCCCTAATCGCCCAGTCATCGCCGATGGGGGCCCGATTGCCCGCCCCGCCCAGGAACGTTCGGATCCGCTACGGGGTGCCTATCGCTGGTCTATCAGCGATGTATGGCTGATTCCAGGTCGATCACTGTTCCCTGTTGATATACACTGCCTCCCCCAGGCGATTCGGAGCCAACCAGGGGCAATGCGGGCACCCCCCCACCATCCCTTGTAACAAACACAATGCAAAACACACTCTGCCTCCACATTCGGAGCATGCGGCCTCCCCCACCATCCCTGTCAACAAAACAATACAGAGTACACTTGGCGGCGGCGGCGGCGGCTGCGGCGGCTGCGGCGGGGGCAGCGGGTGCGGCGGTTGCGGGCGTGGCGGCGGCGGTGGCGGCGGCGGCGGCGGGGGCGGCGGCGGCGGCGGCGGCGGCGGTGGCGGCAGCGGCTGCGGCAGCGGTGGCGGCAGCGGCTGCGGCGGCAGCGGCTGCGGCGGCGGCGATTCGGCAGCGGGGGCGGCGGCGGACAGCGGCGGCGGCGGCGGCGGATTCGCCCCCAGTAGCTGCCCATCCAAAGACGACTGCTGAATATGCTGCGGCTCGGGCCAGGCTCGGGTGCTACGTTTGTGTTGGGAGGGCGGGTGGGAGTGAGCGAGACGGCTTGCGCGCGGGGAGGGAGTCTTGATGCTCCCCCCTACCGCTGCCCCTCACTAAGGGGGGAACAATCACAGGCTGAGGAGGGATGGAGGAGAAGTGAGGCGGACCGGTATAGTATTATTCAGGACTTGATTGTTCCCATATCTCCACCCTCCCAGGACAGGAGGGAAACGATCACAGGAGGAGGGTGGATGGGAGAGGAGCCAGGTGGACCAGTCTAACATTGCTCCATTCCTCGAAGTCGTTGTGGACGGCAGGGGTGGAGAGGGGGAGGGGGAGAGGGGGGACGAAACCTGCTGCCTGCTGCAGGTGTCGGCCTCGCCGCCCGTCATCTTTCTCGATGCTTGGTCGCCTCCAGTGACAGGACGCGCCAGGCATTCCAGCTGCATGCGGCTAGTTTCAGGTCGGGTCTGTCCCCCTACAGGAGGAATGTTCAAAATTAGTCGAAAATCGTATGGGGAGGATTTGTTGAGCATGTCTTGATGATTTGGGTGTATTTGTTGATTCTTTTTTATTCATCGTCCAAAATCCCCCTGTCGTGGGGCACGCCCGATTCAAAGCTAGTTCAATAGCCTCTGTTTGTTTCCATTCGGGTTCGTCCATCCTGGTCTTCGGGTGTTCGGCAGGTGGCGGGTGGTCTCTTGCGCGGAGTCCTCACATATGAGGCGTTCCAAAAACGGTTCCGCCTTCGAGGACCGAAGGAGTTGGCATTTCTTCCTCGGCTGAAGGCGGCGGAAGGTGGCGGAAGCAAAACATGCATTCCCAACAGATTGCAAGGTGTGTTTGTTCACGGTTTCTGGAGCCCGCCACAGATGGGCGTCATGCAGACACACCGGTAGTTTCGTTTGTCCGTTTTCGGCAGCCCCCCTCGCATATCGAGCCAGTTCGATAAGGTCGGCTTCGGCTGTCGTGATTTTGCCCGACCACGACGTGTTTTTTGCTTGTTTGTTTTACGCGACGTCGGATGATCTTGGGACGGCATTTTGCGAACTGCTCAAGCGGAGCTAACCTCATTGAACCGCGTCGCTCCTCCCGCTGGCCCAAATAGCGCGTCCTGGAAGTCTTTTGGGGCTTCCTGGGGCCCTTTTCGGGCACAAGGCTCGAACTGTCGGTTCGTGTTCCCCCTTTGGGGCCCTCTTTGGGGATCTTTTGGGCTGCCTTGGGCGCCTCTTGGGCCGTTTCGGGGCCGTCTCTTGGGGGCCTCTTGGGCCGTCTTGGGGCGGTCTTGGATGTCCCTGGGGCTGTCTTGGAGCTTCGGATGCTCGAAAAGGCGATAGCGTGAACAACATTGAATAATACACTCAGCATCGCTGAGTCTTGTCTCTATGGGCCCTCTTGGGGAACCTCTGGGAGTGCTCTTGGGATTTCGTTGGTGCCTCTTCGGACGTCTTGGAGGCATATTCGGCAATATTTGCGGATTTGGTGGCCTCCCAGGTCCGTCTTGGAAACCATCTTCTGCATTTGGGACGCAGCTTGGGCGCATTGAAGAGCGCCTGGAACCATCCCGCTGTAGGGCGTGCGTTGTGGGTCAGAAGCGTCAGGGATGCTCGTGGCGAGCGAGAAGGAAGAGGGGGATGAGGAGGAGGAGGAGGAGGAGGAGGAAGGGAGGAGGGGGAGGAGGCCACTAGATCGCTTCTTATTGCGGGGTCAAACTGGATCGTGGACAAGACGCCTGTTCGGGAGGCTGCTCGGGGTCCCTTGGGAGGCATCTCGGGGGTCTCTTGGTGGTATTTTGGGAACCTCCTAGGGCCTCTTGGGGGTCTCTTGGGGGCCTCTTGGGGGCCTCTTGGGAGCCTCTTGGGAGCTTCTTGCGAGCCTCTGGGGGCTTCTTGGGGCCTTCTGGGGGCCTCTCGGGGCCGCGAGCTGAAATGTCCCTTCGGGTGCCTCGTTAGGGCCCGCTATTGGAGCTCTCTTGGGGGCCATCTTGGGCTGTCTTGGAGGGCTCGTGGGCTGTCTTCGGGCCCTCTGGGGCCGTTCTGGGGACCTCTTGGAGGCATCTTCGGCCGTATTGGGGCGATCCTGGAAGCCTCTTGGGCCGATTTGGGGCGCGGGTAAGACAAAAAGTCGAGAACGCCTGAGTCCTTGAAGCCTACACAGGTCATCCACTACTTTTTGCCTCCGGGGGCCCTCTTGGCAGGGCTCTTGGTGGCCTCTTGGGGCGTTTGAAATGCGTCTTGGGCCATCTTAATACCACATTGGGCGTCTTGGATCGATCGTTCGACGACTGGGAGCCCTCTTGGACCGTCTTGGGGGCCTTTGGGGGCCCTCTTGGAGCGCTCTGGAGGGCCTGAAGGGCGGCGCCCAGAAGGAAAACCATCTCTGACCCGAACCGGCCGGGGTACTTTCCGTCTGGGAGCCCTCAGGGCCGCCCCGCGCGCGCGAAGTAGAAATATTGTGAAGCAGTTGCCGGAGATCTTAGCACGCCTCTGGCCCGTTGGGCCTGCGAATTCAAGACATTTCGCGTTCACCGCCCGCACTTCCTAGTTCTCGCCAGACGCGCCGCACATGGACCAAGACGGGTTGCACACATACAATACGAACTGTAAGATGGACTTGCAGTAGGCTAAAAACGGCTCGAGGACAACTCAAAATCATCCAGAGACGACCCCAGAGGCCCCCCAAGTGGATCAAAGCCCAAGACGGGCCCGAGGCGGCCCAGGAGGGTTCTTAGGCGGCCCAGGCGCGAGCATTAACGTGTTGGGCCTGAGCCCCGTCCGAATGCCATCCATTACAGGTCCGCGCTGCTTCCAGAGCTTATGGGTTATGGGCCCAGAAGCGTCGAAATGATATTCCCAGAGCGTTGGAGCCGTCTGGAGGGCTGAGGAGGGGTATCACCGGTTCCAACCGCTAGAAAGCGGGAGGCAGGCACCAGAGTGCAGCACGGGTTTTGTTCCCTATCCTCTCTGAGTTGTTTTCTCCAGATGGGCATCGTATGCCGAATCTGCCTCATTTCCTTCTCTCCTGACTAGTTTTGCTGGTCTCCAGACTCCAACCAGAGCGCATCCTGACAGGCTAGAACTTCCCGTGCTTCGAAGTGCCACGTACAGGACGAGACCCGAACATATATTTACTTCGGTTCGCAAGGTTCCGGGATTATTTGCCAGGGTTCATAATGTCCCCCCCCGGGAACATCATGAACCTGGGTTTTAATGTTCCGGGACATATTGACTGGGGTTCATATGTTCCTCCCGGAACATTATACACCGTGGTTTGTAATGTTCACGGCGTATCGATTCCAAACAGATATTAATTTGAGTTCATAATGTTCTGGGAGCATTTACTGGGGTTAATTCTGTCTCGGGAATAACGAACCCCGGTTTATTATTCTGGAATGATAATAATGGAGGCTGAGGGACGTCGTCTGAGCCATAGGCGAATATTCTGAATCCGGATTCATGATTATCATTATCATTTTCCCCCAACGCCGCGCCTGCAAATTGGGATTCATTATGTTAGAATATTGACCCTAGTTCGTTATCTCTAGAACATCATAACTAGGCTTCTTACTATTCTCGGAATAATGAACTCAGGTTTCTTATTCCGATTCCGGAATGATAATTTTCCGGCGGAGGGGGGGGCGCCTGAGAAGGAGATTGGATTGTGGTCAACCCTGGTTCATTATGTCGGAATATCGGCCCCAGATACATTATTCCGGAATGAAAATGATCCTGGGAGGGGGGGGCGTGCACCGATCAATCCACAGGCCAATAATCCAATGGGGGTATCATCTGAACATATCATGAACCGAGGTTTATCATTCCTAGATAATATACCACGGTCGACGAGGATTTCGGGGTCACCCCCACCACGTACCAGCCCGAAGCGTTGCGAGAAGATGCCCCGAGGCACCCGACCAGCTGGGCGAAGCATCATTAAGAACAGAGTTTGGCAATGTTGCTCAATAGTTGTTCTGCGAGGTTGGGCCGAAGAGGCGTTCTGTGGGGCCCAACGAGCTGACCTTGAAAGGGGCCCTAGAGGCGCCAAACTGGAGCGAACATCGGGTTCGACAGGGTGTTGGGAATGAGATGCAAAACTATATCGTCTTGGACGCCGTCTTGGGTTCAACAAAGGGGATGTGGCACAGCCGGGCGGCAGAATGGCGGAGCTTCCTGAAGGCGGAAATCATCGAGGCTAAAAAGCCCTGAAGGGAATTTTGTCGAAGTTAAGTCCCACATACCCTACCCCTCAGCCCAGTGAGCGGCTGATTGGAAGAGGGATTCCTCCTCTTATATCTAGTTCCTGTTTTCCTTCCCCAACCCCCGCGTGCTTCTCCTCCTGCTCCTTGTCACCATCCTTGTGTTCCTCCCTGCTTCCGTCTCTCATTCGCCCGCCTCCTCGTCCCGCTCCATGCCCGCTCGATTGTGGGGCCAGCCAGGCCAGGAGATGTCACGACCAGCTGTGCTCTCCCGAGCTTCCCCGCGTGGGCGGGCCGCGCGTCGGGAGCCCGACAGGAAGATGCAGCTGTGGTCGCGTGCTGCATCTTGCTGATTTCTGGAGGCTCAGGGGTTGACACCAACACACATTGCGGCAGCGTGCCCCATCTGAGGAAGGTGGTCCCGATCGCGGTGATGTGGTAACAGTCGGGCTGCGGCTGGAAGACTACATCCAACACCGGATTCTAGGATCATCTTCCTCTGGTGGAGGCAACCACCTGTGTTGTTGTTGGTGCCCATCCAAGCCTCCAATGTTACCCGCCTCTACTGCTACTCACGTGCCCGCCTCTCCAGAGCTCGCGCACAGCTCGCGCAAGCTCGTGCAAGTTGGCGATCCAAGCCATGCACGACGACGCGAATGTCGACATCCTCTTGAAGCAGCTTCCGCAGTTGGGCACAAATTCTTGACGCTTCGCATATCCCCACCAGCACATCCAAAAACGATACCCTGGAGAGTTGCTTGGTTTAGGAGGTTGAGGGAGGGCAGGGAGATAGGGGAGGAGAACGAGGAGGAGAAGGAGGATGCGGAGTAGGAGAAGGAGGAGGAGGAAGAGAAGGAAAAACAGGAGGAGGAAGAGCAGGAGGAAGAGGAGCAGCTGGGATAATGAGAAGTACGACGACGAGGAGGATGAGGATGAGGAGGACGGAGGGGAGATGGGGTGAAGGAAGACGAGGAAATGACGGCCTTCGCGGACCTTATGTTGTGAGAGCAGTTGGGAGGACTCTTAGGGGCTATGTTGGGGTCTTCTTGGGGCCCTCTAGGAGTCCACTTGGGACTGTATCGGGGCCCTCTGGGGGCCCTCCTGGAGCTGTTTCGGGGGGTCTGGATCCTCTTGGGGCTCGTTGGGGTGGAGGTGGCGTCTTGGGGCTTTCTTAGGGTGGTGGTCTTGGGCCCCATGGCTAACAAACAAAATGTATTCCCTCATTCGCCTGGCCCCCCTGGACCCCCAAGAATCGTTTATTGGGACGCTCCGAGGGCGCTCTGGGGTGCTCTTGGGACCGTGTTGGAGCCCCCTTGGGGTCTCTCCTCGGGCTCTCTTGGGCAATGTTGGGACCATCTTGAGGCCTCAGAAGCCCATCAGAAGCGCAACGGCGAGAAGGCCGAAGTTGTTGGGTTCCTTTTTGTGTTGGAAGGATTTGGGAGTCTTGTGATCATCCTTGGAGCTCCGTGGCCAAATGGAGCCGTATTGGACTGTTTTGGGGCCTCTCAGATGCATAATTATTGGTGGTTGCCTCAAGCAATGTTGGGAATCTCGAACAATCTTGGAGGCCATCCTTTACTCCTTGAGGGCAGCTTTCAGTCATATTGATCCAAACGCTTCCCAAGGATGCCCCAGATATGCCAAACGCTCTTTGTCAAACCAAGTTTTCGTTCTTCGTTGGCATTGAGCGAAGGGGGCGAGTCCCCTAACGGCCTCGCCCCTCCAGAGTCCCTAAAGTCGTCTCTTGGAGCCCTCTTGCGGCGCTCGTGGACGCTCCTGGGGCCGCCTTGGAGCCGTCTTGGCTCTCTATCGGAGCTCTCTTGGGTAGTATTGGAGCATATGTATGCTTCCCAAGCCAACTGGACGCGACACACTAGAATGCACAAACCACTGGTTGTCCATACGTTTTGAGTGGATGCAGGCCTCTTGGGTGTGTCCTTGGGATGCTCCGCGGCCACTTGAAGCCGTCTTGGAGCAGTCCTGGGGCCTCTTGGAAGCTATCTTGGGCCATTTTCGGATCTTGGATGCCATCGTAAGGTCTCTGGGGCCATCCTGCAGCCATCTTGAGCCATCTTGGGCCCTCTGACCGCTCGTCAAGGCCCAGGGGGGGGGGAGAGGGGGAGGAGGGGGGATCAAGCTACCCGCCCCGAAGGACGGTCGTCTCGCCCAACCCCGCCCCGCAGCAGAAGCAGCGCCCGAGTCTCAGCATAGGCGGGGGCTGCCACCGGCAGACGTCGGGAACCAGCGCAGACGCCAGCCAGGTGCGCGACGCCCACGCCGTGCTCCGCGCGTGCCGGTACATCCCCTATCGTGCGTGCCGAATATCAATGCAACATGGTCGCGGGGCGCCCGCGCATGGTCGAAGATTCTGTCAGCGTGCTCGTTGCATCGGCGTTTATTGATTTGGAGCAGGGGTAATCCCCTTCCCGAAGTGGAGGAAGGGGCTTGGAAGAGGGAACGCTCTAAACCACTCACGCCCTACAGGGCTGGTGGGATTTGAGCGCGGTGGAGCGTGCTGCGGTAGTCGCAGACGAGTGCTACTGGAAGGCTCTTTGCCCCAGGCTGCATGTTGGTTCAGAAGACATGCGGCGCTTGCTTGCAGATGCAATCATCGACCCCGAGGCTGATTTGGTTGACGAGCTGCGCGACCGCATGACGCAGGATGGCTACTGGGACGTAAGCCACGACGCTTTGCGCGAGGATGGTTCAGTGCACTTGAGCTGGGCGGTGAACGTAGAAGCGATGGCCGAAGGGATGACGCTACTAACCAAAGCTGGATGGCCACCCAGCTTCTTGCTCATGTACGATGACCCGTGGCTCCTCGCTCATCAGCTGAAGCATCTGATCCGCATGACCTCGGGCAACCAGATGCTGTACGACTTTGCGTTCTTCAACGTGGGCTCCAACCTCACGCCCACCGGAGAGGCGGACGAAGTCGACGGACCATCGAGCCGCGGATGGGCGCCGCACCGAGACCGAGGCCAGGATGCGACCAAGACCGCTTTTCGGAGCGACGGCACCCCCCAATACTGTACGACGTGGGTGGCGCTCACGGACGCCACCACTTACTCTTCCTGCCTCGCTTGCGTGCCTAAGCGCTACGACCCTGGTTACAGCGGCGGTGACGGCGGCCATGACCCGATGACCGCGATCTTCAAGGCTTCAGGGAGCAACGCATTGCAGTACATTAGAGCGTTGCCCGTGAGCGCAGGATCGATCATCCAGTTCTCTCACCGGCTGCTCCACTGGGGCACAGCCGCGGCCGGCAGCACCGCGTGGAGGCAGCAGGCTCCGCGCATCGCCATGTCGTTCGCCAGCGCCGATGCGAGGTTCGAGCAGCCCTTCCTCTCCGAGGACGCGTCGCGCTGTCCACTGCCAGCCGTGTCCACACGCGCTGGCCTCGTCGCGGGCCTTGCCATATTTTATATCGGCAACGAGAATCCCGGTCAATGGCGAACGCGGCTGTACTGGGACTGCTTCCGCGCGAGCCAGTGCCAGGGTTGCTTCACCGAGCGTTTCGCCACGATTGTCGCGCAGAATTTTCAAGCGAGTGAGGCAGTGAGGAGGTCCAGTGAGAACAGAAAAATGAATCGTGCAAGTGACTACATTCAGATGCCAATATCATAAAACATTGGTACCGTAAAAAAAAGACCCGTGCATCCTGAAATTGTGATCTACATCTCTTGTGAGAGAGCCGACCCGCGCGCGCCCAGCGCGCCAGTCGCAGCCCCGCCCGCTGCAAGCTGCTGGTGATGCGTGCACTCCCCCCGTGTCATGCGTGTGTGTCTGTCTGTCTGTCTGTCTGTCTGTCTGTGTCGTGTGTGTGTGTCGTGTGTACGCGTGTACAGTCACTGTTGCTGCTACGATCTACTGTCGGGAACTTCTCTTGAGCTTGTCACGCCGCCGGTTCTGGCCCACCACGCTTCGGCGCGACACGTTACTGACATCCCAGTCCCCAAGTGATCAACGGCTCGGGTTTTTCCCAGCCTGCTGCCACGCGGAGCAGAGTGACACGCGATCCATTTGCAAGGCGTAGGATGTCGCCGGGGCCGCAGCCGCGACACGCTAAGCAAAAATTTCCGGCCGCAGGTGTATTGAGGTTGCTACCATCAGTGTGGGTGAATTTTGGTGAGCCTTGCGAAATTGTCATATCGAACGTACCATCTATGCATGTTGTCAAATGTGTACGGCTACACTGTATTATGCTACGCTCTCCAACCTCATCACGCATCAGTTTCAAACCTGGAAGTGGGCGTTGTGTGCAACACCGAGGGCGTGGGGAACGCATACAGGAGGCCCGAAATACGCAGGTGTTCTGCCGGACGGCACGGTCCGCTCCATGTCGCCATTTTTGGCGGGCAGCGTTGGACGCATCGTGCTTCTTATCCAGTCCACCATGCTGGGTGCGTGGTGGTTGCGAGGCGAGACATGTTACCAATGACGCGTTGCCGTTGGTAGAAGACCGTCAGCGTGTTAGTTCTTCGCTTTTGTCCGAACGCCTGGCGTTTCTCCAACAGGCTGATGGGTTGCCCACGGCGGCGTGTTATTGATCATGTTTTTACTCCCCGAGTGGTGCCCGTGGCGAGCGCGGTACCTTGCTGTCCACTGCCCACGCATGCTGACTCTCGGTGGGGCGGGGTTTGTGCTGGACACTCTCTTTTGGCGTGCTTGTACTCCTCCGGTGCGAAGCAGACGGGCTGGGGGGCAGAGCACCAACGAGCTGCATGAGTGATGCTCTTGACCCGGGATGCCCTGTAGCCATGTTTCGACTGCACCCACACATCTGGAGTTCGATCTTTCACTGCGCGGGCCCCTGGACCTCTCGAAACCTTCCCCAGGGCCGGGTTCTTCATCCCGAGCTGTTTGTTGGACGGCGCCGAGCCACGAAGCCCTCTTCGAGAGGCCAACCGTAGCGACAGGCCGGCCGCTTGCTTTCCGCGGCGCTTGATGACTGAGACTGTGCAGTCGGCGAGCGTTTGGTGGAGAGCAGTCGGCGACCAGCAGCCGTGGACCTGCCTCATGGCGCATGGGCCGACGAGTCGACTTGCCACGGCGGCCCAGCTGAGATTCGCGGTCAAGGCTGGGCCGTGAGAGTTCCATCGGGGACCTCCGATGTGCCTTGAGGTACGCACGGTCGCCGAAGCTCTATGCACACTTGGGCGTTTCCGTCCGGCCTCGGGCTCTGGGGCCCTCGTGGATGGATCGGGCTCGAGGGATACCACAGAGAGATGATGATGATGATGATGATGATGATGATGATGATGATGATGATGATGATGATGATGATGATGATGATGATGATGATGATGATGATCATGATGATGATGATGATGATGATGATGACGACTATGACGATGACATTGACAATTACGATGACGATGACGATGACGATTACGATGACGATGATGATGATGATGATGATGATGCTGATGATGATGCTGATGCTGATGCTGATGCTGATGCTGATGCTGATGCTGGTGCTGGTGATGGTGATGGTGATGGTGATGGTGATGGTGATGGTGATGTTGATGTTGATGTTAATGGTGATGATGATGATGATGCTGTTGGTGATGGTGATGGTGATGGTGATAGTGATGGTGATGGTGATAATGATGGTGATGATGATGATGACGATGATGATGGCAATGAGTATGATGATGATGATGATGCTGATGCTGATGCTGATGCTGATGATGATGACGATGACGATGACGATGATGATGCGGATGATGTGATGATGCTGATTATGATGCTGCTGCTGCTGCTGATGCTGCTGCTGATGATGATGATGATGATGATGATGATGATGATGATGATGTTGATGCTGATGATGATGCTGATGCTGATGCTCATTATGATGCTGATGCTGATGCTGCTGATGATGATGATGATGATGAGGAGGAGGAGGAGGAGGAGGAGGAGGAGGAGGAAGAAGAAGAAGAAGAAGAAGAGGAGGAGGAGGAGGAGGAGGAGGAGGAGGAGGAGTGGAGGAGTGGAGGAGTGGACCCCGGTCGCGATTTTCCCCGATGCTGGCTCCTACGGGGGTCCCGAAACACGTCCGGGGTCAGGGCCCCCGAAATGGCGACTCGCCCCAGGGCGTCCGCGCGCCCGAGAAGGCTGCAGCCGTGGGTCGAAGCATTCTCCATGGCTTCGTTCCCTCCGGGTGGGATCTTCAAAGTCCTTGTCGGCCACGCGCAGAAGGGTGGCATAAAGGGGGAGGGGGGAAGGCTTCTTAGAAGGAGGCTGCTCCTTAGACTCGGCATCGCTCGGACGTGTGCATTTTTCTCGGCGGGAGCCATCGAGGAGCAACCTTGATCATTTCGCAAAGAAACCACGCACGAAACCGAACAAAACACAGGAAATGGACGTCCGAGCGATGGCCAGTAGAAGGCGCGAGCCTTGTCTACAGATTTAGGGCGGGCGCCTTCTAAGAAGCAGCCTGCTTCTAAGAGGCCTTCCCCCCGGGACGATCGACATGGGTGCGGAAGGAATTGGTCCGAAGACCCACAGCAGCTCCTATCCATTTTGAGCAGGGCTCGCTGTCGGTGTCGCCGCGGACGTTGTCCATCTCAGGCAAGAAATCGCCTGTCCAACAGCGGCCGCTGTCGATTTTTGAGTGCACTTGCTGTTGGCCATCTTGCCTATCTTCTCCCTACCCATTTCGGGCGTGCCAGTCCCTCTCCCCCCCTCGATGACCCTCGGAATGCGTGTTAGCCCACTGCGCGTGCGTGAGTTCCAAGATCTCCCTCTGCTCCACCGATCGCGCTCAGCCTGCGTCGGCCCTCACTGCACCGCTTGCGTCGTGGTGAGGGGCTTCGGCGCACAGGCAAACGTTGGCGCCAACACACGTAACTGCTCGGAGTCATTCATCCTCGTTTCGACGTCCGCCCAGCCTCCACGCCACGTGGTCGCAACCCATTTCGGGCGCCAGTGGTGGTGCAAGTGGCACCAGAAATGGGCATCCACCTCCGCCCTGCTCGAGGTTATGCTTCTTGGGTGTGAAGATCGAGAGTTTGGGCCGCGATGTTTCACGACGATTGCGGTTGGAGCTGGCTGGGGGGCTGAGGTGGCTCAGCACTGCATCCCATCCAGCCAGCCCATCGTCGCCACGGCTAGGTGCGGCTCGACCAACTTGTCAGTTTCGACCCCTGGAGGGGTTCGGGGACCGATTTTGCACGGATTTGTCCTCGTCCGCCCTGGTGGCCGATTTGCTCACAGTCCATCTAACGAAGACCTCTCGGCCCCGCTTCCAAGAATGCGGTGCGTTGTGCGAGGTCGGACGTCTGGCAATACCACTTCCGGCCGCTAGAAACAATCGAGTCGTTGGGAGGCCTGTGCCAAGGGAAATCCTGCAGAGAGAGGGGTTCGGGAGTTCTCGTCCCAGATATCGGACGCTTCGACGGAATCAAGGCGGCCAGTTTGGCATTTGTTTTGGCCCAAGGAGGCTGGGTTTGGGCCTCGGTGCTGTTCAAAAACGACTCGGGAGAGCTCCACAGCCTTGGGAGAGTCGAGGTGTTCGGGGGCCCATGTATCGAAAGAGTCGGCGCGCCGGATGTCTGGCGTGCTGTGTTACGACGAATGCGAGATGTTTCACGCGATCGGTCGTCGGAGAGTGCCCCGTGCTGCGTGTATCTGCCTCTGGGGTTGACATTGGTGGGTCTTCTTCTGTTGATGGTGTGCTGCCAGGACAGTTCTGCCCACTGATAGATCATCGAATTGGTTTGGATTTTGACGAGTCGTTGACGGCACCCTTGCGATAATGCGGCGACGCGTTCGCTTTTTGCTTGCCCGTTCCTCGTATACTTCTCCCGTTGGGCGCCCGGCAAGGGCCTAACATTTTTATGCTCGTCTTGATTGCCCAACTGCACCCATTTCGTTTTGCCGTATTTATCCATCATATCTTACATTGTTCGTGCAGCGTCCATCCCTTACCATTGGAGGTGCTCGGCAATGACTACAAAGACTTCCTTGAGAGGCGCGCGTCGGCTAATGCGAAGTCGGTTCACTCTGGAGGTGAGCTTAGAGGCATACTTACTCCGTGGGACGAGAGAGGCATGTCTTGTGAAAGTTGGGTTCCTTTGCAGCAACAGTAGCAGCGGGGGGGGCTGATCGCAACGGGTGAGGAGAGGGAGGGTGAGGATGTTCGAATCATTTGTGGATCAGAGCCGTGGCCGTGCGAGAGACATTGGAACGCGTCGTCTAGATCACAAGACTGTCGGCTGCTGCTGCTAGCCACCGAGCTCTGAATCGCAAAAGCTCCAGGCCCACGCAGAGTCCAAGAATCTGATACAACATCATGGCTGGTACGCTCGCCAATGACAGGGATGGAAGCGGACACCGCATCAACGCGTAAGCATGCCGCCGTGCCTTCTTTTCCGATGTCCCTCCGAGCACGGTGCGCACATCAAATAAGACATCGGTTTTCCAGCAGTTGCCCCACGGTATTGTCTTACCCCCTGTGGCCCAAGGAACCCACGGACGTTCGAGGGCACCCTAGGACCCTCCAAGATCAATGTGCCCCGAGATTCCTTATAGCAGGAACAGTGTTAGTGTGCCTATTGGTTTCGGGGTCACCTCTGAGGTCTTCATGTCTGTGGTTCCCTTACAACAAAAAGAGCTCGTTCACCAACTGTTCAAAAAAAACAAGCGGTGCAAAACACAATGCAAACAAAGAACACGAGCAACAAACAGCGCAACAACACGTGAAACAATGATGTTGGCTCACGTGAACACCGAGTCTGCGCCGATAAATCGTGCAACAAGAAAGTGCTCCCCAAGTCACAACTGGGCATGGCTTTCCTTTGCGCACAGTATTTTGTTTGTGTTAGTGTTTTTGGTTCGCGTTTGGTTTGTGGATTCTGTTTCACGGGATCCAGTCGTGAAGGGCTATAGTCTCGGATCTCACCGCGCTTAACCAAGCGCATCGAGATCGCAACGGGTGCAACTTGCGGGCGCACCAGAAAAGCAGGCTGCAGCTCTGTGCAGTAGATCATCCGATCCAGGGCAGTAGTGCCGCATTCTATCCAAGAGTGGATCATGTTTTGGCGATGTGGTCGCGCCGCGCACCTTGCGCCTCGTTCTGATCAAGCTCCGCCTCCTCCCCACAGCACGGCGCCCTCCTTATAATGATCTATAAACCACCAGGTCAACTTTTAATTACTAAACAACGTCGATGGCATGTCGAAGACGTGCCTTCCCAGCGTGCTCATCCGCGTGCTCATCCGAGGTTGTCATCTTTCTGGCGGGGGCTGCACGCTGCTAGCTGCTCACGACCCGCAACCCCAGAACTACGTGGATGTTGAATGGCAACGGAAGAAAAGTGGTCGACGGCACGGACTTGGGCGCGTAAGTTTCCAGCGTACGGTCGCGCGTAAGCTACCGCGTTGGGTCGCTTTGTCGTCTTGTGTAGGACCCCTTCCTTTTTGCCGCTCTCATGTATGCGCGCACGCGTGCAGCCTGCCTGCGCACCCGCACGGCAGCGGGGCCCCGCGCGAGGAACTTCCTCAGCGCCGGCCTCCGCAAATCGCAGGATGCCCGCGTCCGCCTCTAGCCGCCGTCCCCCTGCTGCTCCTGCTGCTGCTGCTCCTGCCGCTGCTGCTGCTGCTGCTGCTCCCTCCCCTCGCAGTGAAGGAAACAGGGACGGAGGGAAACGGGTCCTGAGGGTTCTCGCTGTCTCTGGCCTCCCGGGGCCCTCCACGGACCTCGGGACCGTCCAAGGGCGACTCGGGACGCGGAGCTGGTCATGGGAGGAGGAGGAGGAGGAGGAGGAGGAGGAGGAGGAGGAGGAGGAGGAGGAGGAGGAGGGAGGAGGAGGAGGAGGAGGAGGAGGAGGAGGAGGAGGAGGAGGAAGAGGAGGGGGAGGGGGAGGGGGAGGAGGAGGAGGAGGAGGAGGAGGAGGAGGAGGAGGGAAGGCTCCGAGGGCCAGGGCCCCTTTGGCCTCGGGGCCCGTCTCCCGCGGGCCGGTGCCTGCTCCGCCCCCGCTGGGTGCCTCTTCGCTGGGGGCTCCCTTCGCGTCCTCCCTCGGGAGAGAAAGAAGGACGTACACGTTCATGTCTAATTCTTCGGAAGTTCCTTGATAGTCGGGGGGCCAAGATCCTCTCATTTTTAATTGTTCTATCCTGGGCCTCTTCCTGGCCACCAGGGGGCCAGGAACAATCAGGAACGAGCACAATATGAAATGAGCAAGATTAGAAATGAGCGATGTGCACACGCACATGAATCCACGTTGGTTTCGAAAGTACGCATTGCGCGGTCGTTCGTATCACGAGGCTGGTCTTGCGGGCGCGTACGTCTTTTGTGGGCTCCCTATTCCTCAGGGCTGGGCCTTCCTTGCTGGGGAGGGCGGCGGTTGCAACCCCTGCGCCCCCTTGGTCCTTGGGGTGGGAGCCTTCGGCAAGACGGCGCGCAGACTGTTGCAATGCCGAGTTCGACCGACCCCCCCCGCGTCCTTCTCTCGCTAGCTGCAGTGGGTTCGCGTCGTGCCGACGCGACCCAAGCGTGGGGCGTTCAAGGTTGGACGCCGCCAGCGGCCCAGCATCGGCCAATGTGGAACGATCTGGCGATCGAAAAGCCGCAGATCGTTCAAAGTTGCACGATTCGCGCGGTGTCAGAGACCAACGCCGAGGTCGTTGCGACACGGTCCCGCCCTTGTCTCAAACAAATCCTTGTCCCTGGAATTGGCGTCACCTCGCCCCGGTGCCGATCTTGAGGATTTCTCCGGTGACAGAGGGCGCGTTCGCCTATAATTCAGATTGTCGCCCGTTGGGGCGCGTCACTCTCAGGGATAAGGACGAGCTCGAGGCTGGCTGCTCGTTTTCCTCCCTGTGCCTCTCGCGCTCCCGTTGTGCTTCCTGCCCTTGCCGGGAGGATCTTTTTTCCCCGATGGACCCAAATTTCGATTGCATGTAAACCATCAGTAAATCGATCTTCGATGGCATGTTTGCGCAATTTACAGAAATGTATTGCAGACTCTGCAGAAGAGATATCAATATTTGGAGATTATGTTGTATTGGAAGAAACTAACCCCCAGGTCGATGTCTAGCAAAAGCTTTGACGCGGCGAGGCGCAGGCTCCAGCAGGTCGTACGGACCCCAGCCTCCACCAGAATCGCAATGGAGGAGGAGGAGGAGGAGGAGGAGGAGGAGGAGGAGGAGGAGGAGGAGGAGCGAGGAGCGAGGAGGAGGAGGAGGAGGAGGAGGAGCGAGGAGGAGGAGGAGGAGCGAGGAGGAGGAGGAGGAGGAGGAGGAGGAGGAGGAGGAGGAGCGAGGACCAAAATTCGGGCGGAACAAGTCTTGGACGACGACCGACAGCAGCTCTGGTCCATTTGGGACAGGACGCACCGTCGGCGTCGCCAGGGACGTCTTCCGTTTGGTACGGACGTCGTTTGCCAATCAGCGGCCGCTGCCGGCTTGGGGCATAATCCATTGTCGGGCTCCGTCCACATAATTTCCGTCTCCGCTTCGGTCGGGTTCAAAGAGGGAGGAGCAAAAGGCGGAGGAGGAGAAAATGGCGGAGGAGGAGTATGCGGGGGACGGAGAAAGATGAGGAGGAGGAGGGGGGAGGAGGACGGAGGAGGAGGACGGAGGAGGAGGACGGAGGAGGAGGACGGAGGAGGGATCACCAAACGAGAAGGAGGAGGAGAAGGAGGAGGAGGAGGATTATAATGTTCCAGAACACTTCTCGAACCAGTAAGAACGTTTCTCCATTCCCGCATGGTCACTCATCCCCCTCCTTTCTCCTCCTCCTCCTCCTCCTTGTCCTCCTCTCCCTTCTTCTCTCCCTCCTTCGTTCCTCATCCCTTCCTCCTCTTCCTCCTCCCTTCTCCCTCCCTCTCCTCCTCCTCGTCTTCCTTCTCGTCCCTCCTCCGCGTTCCTCCTCTTCTTCTCATCTCGCGTATGTGCGGATCTGTCCTGGTCTTATTTCGATAGAGGTTTTATCCCCCTTATTTTTTTTAGCACAGCGCTGCCTCCCCTCATCCTCATTCCTCGTTCCTCGTTAGCACGGGCCCTCGGTAGCAGGCTTCGCATGGCATGTGCAGCAAGAGAAGGATACCCGGTGCAGGTGGCACGGAGGCCCCCCAGGGTCCCGCGGCCGCACCAGAGATTAGCCCCGCGCCTGACAGCGCCTTGAGGGGCGTTCAGCCGACACGATGACGGACCGCACGAGGCTTTTGCGTGCTTTGTGCTACAGCCCAAACCGTGGGAGGCCCCTCCTCCCTCCTGTTGCTGCTCTTTGCCCTCTTCCTTTCCTCGGCCTCCTCCTCCTCCTCCTCGTCATCATGATTATCATCATCATCATCAGCATCATCAGCATCATAATCATCACCATCACCATCATCACCATCACCATAATCACCATCACATCATCACCATCACTATCAGCATCATCATCATCAGCATCATCAGCATCAGCATCATCATCATCAGCATCATCATCAGCATCTGCATCATCATCAGCATCTGCATCATCATCGCCATCGTCAACATCTTTACCATGATCGGCATAGTCGGCGTCGTCGTCATCATCTGCATCATTATCACCACCGTTATCATCACCGAAATCATTATGACTCGTGGGGCGTTGCTGCTCTCTGTCCTTCTCTCGCGCTGGGACTAGCGCTCTGGATGGGAAGTGTGCGATTCAGGAGGCGGCCATCCTAGCTGCAGTCTCGCTCACTCCGCGGCGCGGTTGCGGGCAGTGCTGGCCGCCGACGCCGCGGTGGCGAAGCGGGAGAGCAAGCACGTGGCCAAGTCCTGGCGCCGCGACGCGCCAGCGGCCGCGCTGGACGCGGAGCGGCGAGCGCAGTCCACGGCCGCTGCCCCGGGCGCTCGCGCGGTGATCGAGGCGATGGCCGCGGCCAGCCTCGGGCAACCGGTGCTGCCGCCTGTGCCAACCTTCCGAGCTGGCCAGGGTCGGCCACCCCGGGGGTGAGCGAGCACGCGCCGTTTCGGCCCTCAGCGCGCCCTTCCATGACCGAACACGCTCGTCGAGCAGTTTGGAGCACGGATGGTGGTGCGCATCGGCGACGGCTCGGAGGACGTCGAGGAAGACATGGTCGTGGGGCCGCCCGCCAAGGCAGCGGCGCCCGCCTCGAAGCCGCACGCTGCGGCGGCGACGTCCGCCGTGGAGCAGGCCCTAGGGTACGCCCTCGCTTGCTGCGGAGCTAGTCGCAGAGCCGTCCGTCGTGGCCGCGGAGCCCGTGGCGGACCAGGGCCCGGAGGACACCATGGGCGTGGACGCCGCCGAGGAGCTGCTGCTCGCGGCGAGGGGAGCCGAGGCGGAGCTCGTCGTGGAGCCGCCCGTCACTGGCACGGGCGCCCTATCCGTGGAGCTCGTCGTGGAGGCGCTCGTGCTGGCCGTGGCGCTCTCATGGCCGTGGGGCTCGTCGTGTAGCAGGCTCTGGAGCACGCCTTCGCCGTGGAGCTCGCGGAGCTCTTCGCACGGCCACCCGTCATGTATTTGGTCGTGGATCTGGCTGTGGAATTCGGACTGGCTGTGGACCTGGCCGTGGAGTTCGGCGTGGAGCTGCCCTTCATGGCGCTGGAGCTCGTCGTCGTGGAGCTCGTCGTAGCGCTGGAGTTCGTCGCCGTGGAGCTGGAGCTCGTCGTCGTGGAGCTGCCCGTCATGCAGCTGCAGCTCATCGTGGACCTGGCCGTGAGGCTCGTCATCATGGAGCCTGTCGTGGTCGTGGTGCCCTTCGCGGAGGCGCCCGCCATGGCTCGTGGAGTCAGTCGCGAAACTGGTCTTTAGGACGCCCTTCGTGGTCACGGAGGTGTCGAATCTGCTCTTCAGGATGCCGCCCTTGCCGAGCGTGCGGATGCTGCTTTTTGGCGGACCTGTGGGAGACGATCCCCGAGGTCGGGGGTCGCGTGCGTCGGCGAATCGGCAGGCCCGTCCCGCCGCGGCCATCGCGACAGCGGGCGAGCGGGGCGGCGAGGCCGACCGTGCCCGAAGCCGCGGCGGCAGCACCCGGCGCAATGCGGCCAGCTGGAGCAGCCTGGGGCGGAAGCGGCGAGGCGCCGCGGGCCTCGCAGTGCCTTCTCGGCCACCGCCTCAAGGAAGGCGCGTGGCCAGTGCGCCGCCGTTCCATGGAGGCAGGGAGCCGCTGGCGCGCAGGTGAAGCCCGTCGGGAGTTTGGACTCGATGGGTGCGCTGCCGCAGCCAGCGTCCGCGCCCACCGTCGCGGGCATCGGGAAGGCGCTCGCAGCTGCACCGACCAGCACGGAGGCCGCCGAGAGGGCGAGCCACCAGCGCGCCGCCATGGGCGGGCATCCAAGCCCGCCCGCCGTGAAGCCGCCCTGGGCTGCCGCCTCGGGTCTTCGCGACCCGCGCTTCGATGGATATCAGCAGCAGTAGGGATGGCTGGGCGCGGCTTCACAAAACCTGGCTCCGAACGCTTGTGCGGAGGTGGCGGGCTGCTGCCATGTCCATTGCTGGCGTCAGACAGCACGGGCCATGGCTGGGCAGCCTGCCCGTTCTATCGTCTTGGGGGCCCGCCTCGTCGCCTTGCCCCAGAGGATCCTGTCGGTTCCTTGGGCGCGCATTGAATTTAGATCCAGCAGGGTCAGTAACTCAGCACTCGATCGTCACCCTCATCGTCCTCATATATCCCTCCCCCGTCTTGACGTTGCGCGGACTCGAGCTGATGGGCTGCCCCTCCTCCCTCCCTCCCTCCCTTCCTCCCATCCTTCGCTCTCTCCTTCTCCTCCTCCGTCTCCTCTCCCTTCCCCCCCTCTCGCACTCAGTCCAGAAGTTATCAAACAGCCCTCCTCCCCCTCTCTCTCTCTCCTCCTCTTTTCCTGTTCCCCACCTCATTTCTGATCAGGTCTCAGTTGGCACACCTTGTCGCTGCGCTCCCCATTTCCTCCCGCTGCCCCCCACCCTCGCGGGTGATGAATTGCGCGCGCGGTGAGGTGTAGAGAAGTCATGCGTATATACATGCACACATTTGTATACATCTATATATAGAGAGAGAGGGAGAGAGAAAGAAAGAGAGAGAGAGAGAGAGAGAAAGAGAGAGAGAGAGAGACAATTAAGACAGAGAGAGAGAGAGAGATGCAGACAGAGACAGAGACAGAGAGAGAGAGAGAGAAAGACAGGGAGGGAGAGAACAGACCGCCCTATTCCCCAACCCCTAGAGGTCCCCGCACGCAGGCCCCAGGAGGCCTCGGGAGGCCCAGCGAGGGCCGCTGTGTCCCAACGGACCCCTGCCGCGGGTCTCTGGGGGAACAGTGGGCAGGGCCAGGGGCGACGACGACGACGCAGCCCGAATTCGTTCCTTCGGCGCGGCGGTGGCGGCGTCGGTGACGTCGGTGGCGTCGTCGTCGTCGTCGTCGTCGTGGTGCTCATCGTCGTCGTCGTCGTCGTCGCCCTCGTCGTCGTCGTCGTCGTCGTCGTCGTCGTCGTCGTCTCCGTTGTGCTCATCGTCATCGTGGTCATCGTCGTCGTCGTCGTGGTCATCGTCGTCGTCGTCGAGCCTTCGAGGGCCAGGGGCGAAGGTCGGAGCCTCGGGTCGACTGCTCCCCCCCCGTCGCCCCGGGCGCCTCAGAAGCGCAAGGTCTGGGATGAAGCCACAGGCGCCGTGCTTCCCAACTGGGCACCTCGTCTTCGTCCCTCCTTCCCTTCCTCCGGTCTCCTCCCTTCTCGTCCCTCCTCATCTGTCTTCCCCCCCCAGCCTGCCCCTGCTGCTAGATACCGCGTGTTTCTGCCAGCAGCTATTGAGTGCCGCACTAAGCTGACCGTCTCCTCGGCGAATCAGAGCGAAATTCCGAATTCCCCCGGCTTGCCCTCTGTCCCCTTCTCCGCCTCCGTCCCCCCACCCACTTCGCTCCGACCCTCCTGTCCCTCTTCTCCCCGGCCCCCTCTTCTCCTCTCCCCTCGCGATTCCTCCCCCTCGACGCCCACGCCCGTCCCGCGCCCTCTGCGTTGCGCCCCGCGGTCCCCGCTCGGCAGGAGATCTCGCACCTGAACTTCGAGCAGCAGAAGGCCCTGATGGAGGCGCGCGGAGGGCGGGAGGGAGCGACGACGTCGACGACGACGACGACGATTGCGACGGCGATGGCGCCGATGGTGATGACGGCGAGGACGTCGACGACGACGGCCGCAACGACGGCGGCGACGACAACGACGACGAGGGAGGAGCCGTGGCGTTCTGCTGTTAGCTGACACCTGTCCTGTCCTGCAGGAGCGGGGTCCGCCTGGATGATCCTGGTCAGACTGCGGCCCGAGACTGGTCGAGGCAACGAGGGCTTGTAGGCGAGGAACGGACGATCGGGTTGTCTGGCAGAGGTGGTGTTGTGACAGGGCGGTTGCGCGAAGCTGCGGCGGCATGCAGCTGGCTTCGGCTTCGCCGCCCGGCACGTTCTTTGATGCACGGTCGCGCTCGGCGTCTCTACTGTGCCCGGAAACAAATGCGCACACGCCGCTGACTCGGCGACCTTGATTGTTCAGCCTTTTCTCGTCAAACCCGAGAGGAGGGCTCCTGCACATCCGATCCTCCCTCGTCCTCTCCCTCGTCCTCCCTCGTCCTCCTGCTCCTCCTCGTCCTCCTCCCTCGTCCTTGCCTCCTCCCTCGTCCTCCTCCCTCCTCCTCCTCCTCCTCCTCCTCCTCCTCCTCCTCCTCCTCCTCCTCCTCCTCCTCCTCCTCCTCCTGCGCCTCTGGCGTGTAGCATTCGAGCGATACCACCCCGGGCCTGCACCGTGGGAGCTGCCAGGGCACAGGGAGTGTGCAGGGTACAGCTATAGATGTGTGCGTGCACCACCTCTTGAGGCTTCAGGGACCCCTTCGTCGAGCAAAAAGTAGGGGTCGCATCCTGTCCTTCCTTATCCTGCTCCTCCCGTCCCCCCCCCTGCGCAGATCATGACCGTCAAGAAGCTCCCTCCGAACGATCGCGTGGAGTCGGGGCTGCGCTTCGCGATCGTCGTGGAGCGGGGGCGGGGCGCCGGGGGGAGGGGGGGGGCGGCGAAGGCGAGGAGCAGTTCTATCCGCGGAGGAGGCGGAGGACTGCGGCGAGAGGAAGGAGAGGCAAGGGAGGAGCGGAGGCGGAGGTAGGGGGGGGGCGGAGGGAGAGGGAGAGGGAGAGAGAGAGAGAGAGAGAGAGAGAGAGATAACGAGAGAGAGAGGAGAGGTAGAGGGGCGGGGGAGTAGTTTGAGAGAGAGGGAGGGAGGGAGGCAGGCAGGGAGGGAAGGAGAGAGCGAGAGAGAGAGAGAGAGAGAGGGAGAGAAAGAAAGAGAGACAGAGGAGAGGTGGAATGGAGGGGGAGTAGTTTGGGAGAGAGGGAGGAAGGGAGGGAGGGAGGGAGGGAGGGAGGGAGAGAGGGAGAGAGAGAGAGAGAGAGAGAGCGAATGACCACATACATAGTAGATGTAGAGAGGGAGATGCAACCAACCACAGACAGAGAACCAGAGAGAGAGTGAGAGGGGAGAGGGATGGGGGACAAGCCAGGTGCGCTCGCGCCATATCGATTACATTCCCCTCCTATCACTTTCTCATTGCGATGGTCCCCTCTATATTCGCAGAGCCAGGTGCCGTGAACATCCGTGATCCCGCCAGTCTTTCAGGACACCCCAGCTTGCACACTGCAATGTACGGCACACAAGAGCCCTTCGTGGGCCAGACCCAACGCGGCGGGAAAGCCGCTCCATTGGACGGACGTTCAGTGGGAATCAGTGTGGCACATCTTGCAGGGGGGTCGCTAGTTCTGCTGATGCAGGATGACGGTCAGCGTTGCGGCGAGGGCGGTGCTCCATGTGGCTACCCCGCAGCGGGATCACCACCCTCACTGATGCGTGAGGGCGGCAACCACTGCCACAGCTGCGGCGGCAGCGTCGTTCCGTTGGGCGGAGGCTCCGTGCTGAACATCAGATAGATGTATACGGCAAGCGCACCATCAATAGTGCCTCTGTTCCAACCCAGCAGGAACGTTTTGATTTCTCGCAAGAATGCAACCACCGCAGCGGCGACAGCGTCGCTCTCTTGTGCGCAGGCCCTCTCGTGATGAGGAAAAATAGCGAACGCACAGGCGACATCATCACTTTTCAAAGGCAGAGAAGAGTCCGACTGAATCGCCATATCGAAAAGCAATTCGGACGCACCCAGTGTGCAACAACGCATTATGCTAGGTTATTTTCTCAACCCAGCACGGCATCATGGGAGAGAGGGGCGTCATACTCAGTTTGCGTAACTGCGGAGTTGGAGGGCGTCGTGGAGCTGGATGGGGCGCGGAGGCGGCAGTGGCGATGACTTCGTGACAAGCACATTCCGAGGAGCAGGAGAGGTAGAGTCGAAGAAGCAAGGACTGCAGGAATATCAGCATTCGGAGTTCCCGCGCGGATCTCTTGGGTTGTCGCTGGACACCCCCCCCTCTGGTTGCGCCTCCGGCGGCGACTCTGGCGCGCTTCGCGTGCCTGGGGACTGGAGTCCCGCGCTGATCCAAACGATTCTCGCGGACACCCGAAGCTTCATTTCCCAGTTCATCCCAGCACATCGGGTTACTTCCGCTCCCAACTGGTGTTTGCACTCAGGTGGCCATCGTGTTGCGTGAGCAGCTGGGCGCCTCGTTGACGCTCCTCGCTCGGAGGGTGCGGTGCGGTTCCGCCGCGTCGCAGGTCCGAGCCGCCTCGTGGACGCCCCACGAGGCTCCACGTGCGGGGGCGGCGCCTCGTGGGCGCCTCGCGGGCGCCCCCCGCGCGTGGGGTGCACGGCGCAGCCTCGCCACGCTGCAGGCCCGGGCCGCCTCGTGGACGCCTCGAGGGTGCCCCCGTGCTCGGCCTGGCATCGCTCGCACGTGTGTATTTTTTTTTTTCGGCGAGGACCCTGGAGGAACATCCTGGATCATCGAGCGAAGATCACACGCACGAATCCGCAACATGCACTGGACATGGACGTCCGAGCGACGGCAAGTTGGGGGGGGGGGGCGGCGGGGGGGTGTCGTCGCGCTGCAGGGCCCGCGTCTCGTGGGCCTCTCGCAGGCGCCGCGTGCAGGACTGGCGCCTCGTGGGCGCCTGGTGAGCGCCCCGCGCCTGGGGTGTGGTGCTTCGCCACGCGGCGGGCCCGGGCCTCTCTGTGGGCGCCTCGTGGGCGCCCCCGCGTCCGGGGGGGCGGGAACGGCGTGGTTTCGTCAAGTTGCGGGCCCGAGGCCGCCCCCCCCCCCGATCCTCCTCATCACTCCTCGACGCAGCCTGGTGTCTGGTGCCACTGGGTATTTGGTGCGGCTGGCGCAAGCCAGCTCGTGTTACCGCATAAGGCACCGCATGAGTTCGCTCCAGTGCCGCTCGGGATCGATCACCAGCGATGGGCTGACAAGGCGCAGCCCGTCCCGGGTCCCCCCCCCCCGTCCCAGAAGATGCCACATTGTTGTTCGAGAAGCGTGATCGGGCCGAGCCAGTTTGAGTGTGTTCTCCAACTTTGTCGCCACAACTCGCTCCTCCTTCCCCGTCCTCCTTTGAATCCCCAAGAACCTTGATAATCCCTACAATTTCTTCTGAGCTCCTCGTTGCTGCAAGCACGACCTCTAAGCCCTTCTCCTCGTCCTCCTCCCTCCCTCCCTCCTTCTCCCTCTCCTGAGGCATCCAGACACCTCATACGCTCTGCTGACTCTTAGACCCTCGTCCTCCTCCCCTGTGACCTGTCCCCTCCAATCCTCCTGCTCCTGCTCTTCTCATCCCTTCCCTTCCTTCCTCATCCTCACCCACCTTTCTTGATCAGGCGCCTTTTCACACGCTCGGAATTCAGACACGGCCCTCATTTGGAGAACGTAAGTGGGTGTGTTGGTCTTTCTTTTGGGCTGAGAATGTGAGTAGCGCCGGTCTCACTAGCAGCCGTCGCAGAAGCAGTAGTAGCAGCAGCAGCAACAGTAGAGTAGAAGTCGTCGTAGTAGTTTTAGTAGTAGTAGTAGTAGTAGTAGTAGTAGTAGTAGTAGTAGTAGTAGTAGTCGTAGTAGTCCTAGTAGTCGTAGTAGTCGTAGTAGTCGTAGTAGTCGTAGTAGTAGGAGTAGTAGTAGTA